GCCCTTGGGCCACGGAGGCAGTGTGGGGGGCGCTCTGTGCGCGGTGTTAGATCATCTGCATGTTATTTGTGTCTTCGATGATTTCTGTAGAAGGGATATGTTTATTTGATTCTTTGGGCTACAGGCTGTGTCACAGGCTTGGAGGCCCCTGTGTCCTATGACATGGCCAAACTTTGGTCACCTTGCACCTTCCTGACCCAACTCTAGAACCAGCCATTCCTCCAAGGACCCTGTTTATCAGGATCCTTGACCTTTAGGAAACCGGACCTGGCATCAGGGTCATCTGGCCCTCCACCTCCCTGACCGCCAGCACTGGTCCACCTGGCTGTTTGCTGTTAAGGCTGGTCACGAGGGCCACAAGGATTGGAGCTACATACAGTGAAGTGACCACACAGCAACTATTTAAAGTCGGCTCGTTTTCCCCATTTCCTTCTTCAGATAAACCCAGACTGAAAAGGAAGGTCTTCATTAAGTCAGCCAGGAACAGATGGAACCGCAGGGTCAGGTCCTCGTGTGTCCCCGTGCTCACTCCACATGGCCCCTCCCCATGAGACTGAGCAGGCACACCAGGTCCCTCCTGGGACACCTCCCTGACTACGTGGCACCGCACCACTGCCATGACACTTTACCCGTCCCCAGGTGACACTGTCTCCTGCCTTCCCCTTGGGCTTGAGAGCCTGTGTCCCAGCACGCTGCACAGGCCACGCGCAAGCAAGCACTCAGGAAACACGTCAGCGGCTCTGTGAGGGGTGGTGTGCCTGTCCTACCTTCGGCAGATGCCACGGCCCTGGACCCTCTGCAGCAAGGCTGGAGCCGCCAGGTTCAGCCTCGAACACTCCGCTCTCTCCCAGGTGGTCCAGCGGGTGCTGGCCCAGACGAGCAGCGGGGGCTTCTGCGGGAATGACGGCTTCATGCACATGACCCTGGCCAGCCTGCCTTTCGGAGGAGTGGGTAGGTGCCCGCGGAGCCCTGCCCTCTTGCCATTCCCGAGTGTGTGGCAGCAGTGTTACCTGACAAATTTCTTGCCACAAACTGCTTGAGCCCAACCTCACATGGAAGGCGACATGGAGGCCCCCTGCACTGACCATCCTGCTCTCCTCCCCGGTTTGGAGTGGAAACTTCCAGACCTGCCTGCACTTAACGCACATGGGTGGGCCCACAGGTGCACAGCCGTGGCCACCGTCTGTTGTGCTACAACTTGCCTTTCTCCCAACAGCATGGCTTGGGGTCTACTGTCTGTCCACGGGCACAGCCCCAGGGGCTCCACGCTCCGTGCCTGGCTGCCTGTGCTCCTTCACCCTCCTGCAGCCCACAGGCCAGCCCTGGCATCTGTCGCCAGCCCCCTGCCCTCAGCTCCATCACAGCTGCAAAGCCCTGGCCTCCAGATTGGGAAAACCTCAAGGCTGGCCCCGGAAAGCCCGTCAGCCTGTGTGACCTGGGCAGCCACTTCCCCTCTCCGGCCCACTTCCTCAGTGAAAGGGTAGAGCCGGAGGAGGCAGTCAAGGTCCTGCCACAGTAAGCTCCAGAATGAGCAGCAGCAAGGCCTGGAGAGTTGTACCTCAGTACTGCCTGGACCCTTCCTGGAGGGTGGCTAGGGCCACCGCAGCACACAGCAGGCTGAGGCAACGCCACCTGGCAGTGCAGGCCACACTGGGGTGGGCACACTGAGACCCTGGCTCTGGATTCCCCCTTCCTCCAACCTGGAGCCTCTGCTCCTACTGAGGTCACTGCCAGTCCCACTCCTCATCCTACTTTCTCTGCCCCTGGAGGAGTGGGGGTTGGCCTGCAGGCATATCTGATCCAGCTGCGACCCTGAGGCCCCAGATCAAGCCAGGCCTGACTCCCAGCATCCTGAGGCCAGACCAGGGGTCCCACTCCAGCCTCCTCCCCCAGCTTCCTGCCTGCTGCTTCAGCCACTGAGCTTGGCCCTAATAGGCCTCTGGCCCCCAGGGTTCTGTTACCGCACACCAGTGCTCCTCCTGCCCACCTTCCCTCTTCACCTGGTGAGTGCCCTATCCCTCGGCCCACTCACTCCAGGATGCCCCAGCTCCACCCAGGCCGTGGCCCTGACTTCCCTCGCCTGGTCCTTGTCTGCCTCCCTTCCTAGACACTGATGCAAACCAACAACACAGAGCTTACCACGTTCGCAGCTCTGAGCACTTGCTTGGTTCTTTTTTTTTCCTTTTTTGGTACCTGGGATTGAACTCAGGGGCACCTGACCACTGAGCCACATCCCCAGCCCTATTTATATTTATATATATAGATATAGATAGATAGATATAGATAGATATATATTAATACCTTTGTTTTATTTATTTTTATGTGGTGCTGAGGACTGAACCCAGGGCCTCACACGTACTAGGCAAGTGCTCTACTGCTGAGCCACAATCCCAGCCCCCTCTATTTACTTATTTATTTATTTAATTAGAGGCAGGGTCTCACTGAGTTGCTTAACACCTCGATTGATTTTTTTTAAATTATCTTTATTTCGTTTATTTGTTTTTATGTGGTGCTAAGGATTGAACCCAGTGCCTCACATGTGTGAGGCATGCACTCTGCCACTGAGCCACAACCCCAGCCCTAGCTGAGGCTGGCTTTGAACTCGCAATTCTCCTGTCTCAACCTCCTGAGCCACTGGGATTACAGGTGTGCGCCACCACGACTGACTGGCTTCTTCCTTAGTTTTTGCCACAACCCTTGAGGTGGTTCCATAGTCCCAGAGGATGAACCTGAGTTAAAGTCGCCTGCCCAAGGTGACACACAGCTATTCATGGTAGAGCTGAGCGTTAACCCTGGGCAGTGTGGCTATAAAATAGGCACCCTTGAGCACTGTGTGCCTAGCTTGCCCCAATACCTGGTGTCCCCAGCACTTACTGTCCTGGTGGTAGTGCAAGGCTTGGGGCTCAACCCTGATCAGCCCACTTAACAGATGGGGAAACTAAGGCTCAGAGGATCAGAGCCCAGGTCTGCCTGATATCCCCACAGCGGGCCACTGAGGGCCTGACCTGTGCTCTATGCCACTCTACAGGTGCCAGCGGGATGGGTAGGTACCACGGCAAGTTCTCCTTTGACACCTTCTCCCACCATCGTGCCTGCCTGCTCCGAAGCCCGGGTATGGAGAAGATCAACGACCTCCGCTACCCTCCCTACTCACCACGCAATCTGAGGGTGCTATTGGTGGCCATGGAGGAGCGCAGATGCAGCTGCACACTGCTCTGAGCCCGCAGGTGCTGGGGCACCAGCCTTCCTCCCCTCATGAAGCAGCCAGAGATGTGGGCTAGGGCACAAGGAGACGCCCAGGTGACAGAGCAGCTTGCTCAGCCTCACCCTCCGGGGGATTTCCTTTTCTGACCCTTAGCTGCCCCATAATGAGGACAGGCTGAGGATGGGAGCACAGGAACAGTGCAGAGACCTGCCCCTACCCCCCATGTCATCCATCATGTCCCGGAAGAAGAGAGCAAACGTGGCACCTCTGAGCCACTTGCCTTCCTGCAGAGGGTGCAGCAGAGAAGCCCTGGCATGGGGTCCAGGCCACAGCATGGAAGCTGTGTGAGCAGGTCATCACTGTCTTCTGTGAGCCTCAGTGTCCCCACCTGCAGTGCTGGTGGAGATGATTAATTGACACCTCTGAAGATTGTTACAAAGATTAAATCCCGAGGCTGACCATGAGCTCCGGGTGTCCTTTTATTCTTGGGGTGCAGGGCCAGAGTGGGTGAGGGACAGGGGGCTGCCTCCCTCCAGGCAGGGCTGAGATTCCTGCAGCAGCACTGCCCTTTGCTTCAGCAGCCTCTCAGAAGCTCTGCCTGCCTCCCGGTGAGCATGTCCAACCCTAACTCCTCACCATCCTGCTCATCCTTGGGGCTCCATTCACTCATCTGCCACCAGGGCCAAAACCCTGTGACTCCTGCTTGACGCCCTATCTCCTCCCCCAGGTCACAGCTTTGAACACGTCCTGGTGAACCTGTAACACCCCGGGATTGCTCCAACTCATACACAAATCACAACACCAGGGCCGGGCCTCGAGCAGGACACTATCACCTTACTTCTCCCTCTGGCCTAGCTCCTCTCCCCACGCTACACACCAATCTTCCAAAATTAGGCAGGACCATGCCACCACTCGGCCAAGACCCCTCATTGGCAACCTGTGGCTGACAAGTCCCTCATCTGCTTCAGTCCCCAGGAGGCTCTTGTTCTGCTCCTCTCTCCCAGGACTGCAGTCACCAGGCTGCCAACCTCGGACACGCGCTGGACAAGCTTTCTCTGTCCTTCCGGGCTTGCCCCACCCTAATGTCAGCTCAGGCACCGCCTCCTCCAGGAAGCCTTCCCTGTCCACCATCCCAACACACACGCAGACTGACCCAGGGGCGACTCAGTGCCCGTAGCCCCCAGGGTCCCTCTACCGCGGAGCGCACAGGACGAAGCAGACGATGAGAGGCGGGTCCCGAGGCCCACCGGTCCAGGTGCAGGCCGCACGCCGCTCCTCGGCGGCCTGACACGTCCCCGCCTCGCTTCCCCATCTGAGAATAGTAACGTTTCTCCAGACTGAGCTCTGAGAACTAGATGAAGTCGCACGAGTCCAGCGTCTGCGCCCGGGGTCGCCGCCGCGGTTACAGCGGCGTCACCTAGCCCTCCGGCTCCCCCGCCTATAGCACTCCCGCACCTCTCCCTAAGCCACGCCCCGGACGTCCCGCCTCCAGCACTCGGAGGTCCTTGGGTATTGGTCTTTCCGAACCAAGATGGCGGCGCCCTTCCCAACTTCACACGCCTGCTTTCGCGCAGCCAATCAGAGGAAAGATGCTTCTAGATCCCGCCTCCTTCGGCAGAACCACCGGCCAATAAGGGCACAGCACGGAGGTCACCGCGGAAAAGGCAAAACCAGCCGACCCAATGGCTATGTCCCAGGGATAGGCTCCGCCTCTCGCTGACCAGCCCGCTCGGCTGGGGAAGGAGAGGCAGCGCTTCGAGGTGGGTGCCCGGGGCTCGGCCGTGAAGGCCAGGCTGGGCAGCGCAGCGTCGGGGGCGAGTGTGGTGTCCCCGTCAGTCCCGCAAACTCTGTGCTCACGCTCCGTCTAGGCCCCTTAGGACCCGTGGCCTCTGCGTCCTTCACGTGTCGCGGGCCGACCGCGAAGCTGGCATTCTCGCGGCGCATGCGCTGCCTGGCCGGGTCTTCCTGCGTCCTTGGGGTCAGAGGTCATGGGGAAGGTCGGAGAAGGTGGTGGGTTGGGTGCCTGGGACTGTAGCCATTGGTCAAAAGAGTGGGCCCGCTAGAGGTCATAGGCCTGGAGGGTCCCTTTTGGGCTCTGGCGAAGTGCCAGGCTCTGGACTCACCCTTTGGGGTGTATGAGTCCCAATATATAAATCTCATGACCCCCCTAATTTGCAGGTTAGAAGTCTGAGGCCAGGTGGCGTCACCTACCTTAGGTCACTCAGTATGCTGGGGGACAGTTCTAGAAGGGCCTGGGAGCGGGGAGCTGGGAGAGGGTTTCCAGCGGGAGGCGGCTTCCAGCCCTGAAGCTCCCCTGTTGTGGGACTGGGGGAGTCACTTCACAAGGACAAGTTGACAGTTCCTGAGTGTCCTCACGTAGAACCTGGGGCAGAGTTAACTTGTAGTGCAAGCTGGTGGTGGTTGGCCTTGTTATTTTGTGAGGACAAATCAGGGCCGGGAGAGATGTAGAAGGAACTTAGGACCCATAGAATTCCCAGAGCTTTAGCCCAGCTGAGCTGCATCAGGTTGGAGGGCTGGAAGACCATGTGCCTGGGAACAAGATGGCCATCGTGGGAATGGAGTGTGAGGGCATAGGATGGCACCACTGGCCCTGGGGCAAGTGCCAGGGGTCCTGGAAGGTCAGTTTTCAATCTTGCACTTTCCTTCCATTTTATGCCCTCAGATGCGCTGCCTGACCATGCCTACGCTGCTGCGGGCCCTGGCCCAGGCTGCGCGCACAGGTAGGACCAAGGGAGCCTTCCCTGGGGGTGGGAAAGCCCCTTCTGTCCTAAGATCACAGCACATCATCACCCCTCCCTTGTAGGACATCCCAGTGGACGGAGCCTTCACAGCAGCACAGTGGCAGCAACCTACAGTGAGTAGTGGGGTGGCCTCCAGCCTAGGCTTCCTGATGGAGGCGCAGCCTGCCAGAGGCCAGGGAGGACACCATTCTGGTCCTGGCTGTGCCTGGGCCCTTCCTGAGCTTCAGTTTCCCTTCTAAAAACGAGGATGACGCTGGGCGTGGTAGTGCACACCTGTAATCCCAGCAATCCTAGGAGGCTGAGGCAGGAGGATCACAAGTTCGAGCGAAGCCAGCCTGGGCAACTTAGTGAGACCCTGTTTCAAAATAAAAATAAAAATGGTTGGGGTGTAACTCAGTGGTAATCCCCAGTACCGAAAAAAAAAAAAAAAAAAACAGCAACAAAGGATGATGATAGAGATGGGCTGAGATTCTTGGGAGCAGACCTGCTCGGTCAGGGTGGGGGAGAGTGGTGGCAGTGCTCCTCTGAGTGGGGCCTGCGGTGTGAGTCATGGGTGCCTGTTCCTCTGCATCAGGATTGCTCGTGAAGGTGGGGGCCAAGCCTCTCAACCACTTGTGCTCCTCTTTAAAGCCTTGCTTGAGGGTTCTTGTGGGCTCAAGGGTCACCTAGGCACAGGGAGGAGTGAGTAAGGCCTGCCTAGGTCCAGGCTGACCTCCCAGGTCCTTGCGGAAGCTAGGGAAAGGGTGGGGAATGACCAGGCCCTGGGAGCCCAACTGGTACGCCTAGGAGTGAGGCCAGGCCTCATCTCCCTGTGCTGGACTCCTGAACCTCCTGTCATGGCCCATGCCTGCCACCCCGCAGAGTATGTGAACCTGCAGGAGCCCGAGATGGACATGAAGTCAATAACCGACCGGGCAGCGAGGACCCTGATGTGGACTGAGCTCTTCCGAGGTGGGTCCTGGTGGGGTGAGGACAGAACGGGCAAGGCTGTGCTGGGGAGGAAGACGGCCCACACACATGCCTGTGCTGCCCACAGGCCTGGGCATGACCCTGAGCTACATGTTCCGGGAGCCAGCCACCATCAACTACCCATTTGAGAAGGGCCCGCTGAGCCCGCGCTTCCGCGGGGAGCACGCGCTGCGCCGCTACCCATCTGGGGAGGAGCGCTGCATCGCCTGCAAGCTCTGTGAAGCCGTCTGCCCTGCCCAGGTGAGCCCAGCCCCTGCCCCTGGAAGGAGGACAGGCAACCTGATGGACAGTCCCTTTCCTGCCTGACCCTGCACCCCCTCCCCACGAGTGGGTCTGATGGCCTTGTTGCCTGAGTGTCGTGGGCAGCAGCGTGGCAGCAGAGGCCAGCCTTCAGCCTGTGTGGCTGGGCGGCATGTGTGGTGCTTGACTCGGTCGGTCGGCAGTGTGAGGCTTGGGCCTAGGATCGTTGGGGTGGCGCCTGAGGTGTCCGCTTTTCCCCAGATGTAGCATCAGCTCCAGGAGCTCTGTGTGTGCCTACCCTGGGCTGGACCCACAGACAGAGGCCCCGTCCCTGGTGGCCGGCCCTTGCAGCTCTGGCTTTGGGTGGTGGAGGATTCCCTAGAGGAGGGGCTCTTGGGATGGAAACAGAGATGCAGACGCTTCAGACCCTGGTGTGCCCAGCAGGAGCCCCGCAGACTGTCCTCACTTGGTCCACACAGCGGTCACCTTCCAGTATCTGTGGCTCAGGGTGGCTCCTGGCCACATCCTAGCTGGTCTCTCCTGGACCACTCCCAGGTCCTCCAGGCTGAGAGCTGTGGCTTTGATGCTTCTCCTCCACCCACTGCCTGGGAGCACACAGGAGTGTCCTCATGCAGCAACCGTGGCTACAGCCCACGCCTATCATCCAGAGACTTGGGAAGCTGAGGCAGGAGGACAGCAAGTTCAAGACCAACCTCAGCAGTTTAGAGAGAGACTGTCTCAAAAAGCAGAAAAGGGCTTAGGATGTGTCTCGGTGACAAGTGCCCCTTGGTTCAGTCCCCAGTGCAGTCATGGCTTCTGGGTAGTGAGTGCTGGTCACAGACAGGCATGCACTGAGCTCACGCCTTCCATCATCTCATTTAATCGTTAGTAATGCAAGCAGATAGAGGTTATGTGTCCATTTTTACAGGCATAGAAAGAAGAGGCTACAGCTAAAGGTCCCACTGTGAGTAGGGAGTGCAGCTCTCCTGGAGGTCGGCAGGAGGGTCTGAGCATCCTTGAGGGTCCTCCTGCTGGGGAGGCCCTAGGCCGCCTTTCTTTCTCCCTGCTGGCACACACGTGGTGCACAGAAACCCCTCAGACTCGCTATCCTCAGCTTTATTATCCGTCAGCTGAGGATTAGAGACCTAAGGCAGAGAGCTGCTCAGCACACAGCAGGTAGTCACTGGGCACTTTCTACAGGGCCAGGCCCTGTAGGGCTAATCTGCAGTGAAAGGGGAGGTCCAGCCTGGCCCTGGGGGGCATTCTGAGGCAGGAGATAAGGCAGTTAATTAACAAAGAGCAAGATGTTTCTGAGGCAGGTGCTGAGAGAAACAGAAGCTGGTGTGGCAGGTGTGAGGGCTGCCTCTTAGGAGGGGTGGCAAGGGGCAGAGGCATCTGCGCAGACACCAAGGGTAGGAACAAGCCCCACATGGGTTGGACCTGGGGCCAGGACATGGCTGGCAGTGTGACGGTGACCAGTGGCCACTCCCCCCAGGCCATCACCATCGAGGCTGAGCCCAGGGCTGATGGCAGCCGCCGGACCACCCGCTACGACATCGACATGACCAAGTGCATCTACTGCGGCTTTTGCCAGGAGGCCTGCCCTGTGGACGCCATTGTTGAGGTAAGTGGGCCCCAGGTGGGAGCAGCTGGGCAGAGGTCCTGGGAGGGGTCTGACCTGGCTGGACTTCTGCCCCACCACAGGGTCCAAACTTCGAGTTCTCCACGGAGACCCACGAGGAGCTGCTGTACAACAAGGAGAAGCTGCTCAACAATGGGGACAAGTGGGAGGCTGAGATCGCCGCCAACATCCAGGCCGACTACCTCTACCGGTGACGCGCCCGCCCGCCCAGCTCAGCCCCCCAGCTCAGCCCCAGGCCCCGCTGCCCAATAAAAGAGCCTGCTCTCCCTAGCTGCCTCCTGTCGTGCATCCAGTGTCCAGGGTGGAACTGTCCCCTGCCAGCCCAAGGTCTCTGGATTCCTCCAGCCAGGTGAGGGCCTGGTCCACCAGCTTCATTCTTCCTGTGGGTTCCATCAGCCCAAGGGTTGGCCCAGCCTTCCTGTATGGTTCCATGGGCCCATCAGACCCTCTTCCTGGTCACCAGAGGCCACAACCTCCTTGATACCTACATACCTTCCCCAAGGTGAGCAATGCCAAAGGTCACCTTGGCCCTGCTGCCCCCACAATTGGTGTTCTTGGGAGTAGGGGGAAGCCTGCTCTGAGGTGACAGTCACGAGCAGATGACAAGGCCCTGTTGCCTCTGAGCTGGCCTTTCCTCCAAACACATCCCCTTTTCTCCCCAAGTTCCCCAAACAGACTGCTGGCTTCACAACTTCCCAGTTTGCAGTCCCACTAAGGCAGGGTAGCTCCTGAGCTATACACAGGCCCAGTGCCAATGTACTAGCCAAAGCAGCCCCTTGAACTTGGTGCTAAGCATTGTAGGGAGGCGCTTACGAGGTGAAGTGACTATCCAGGTCACTTAGCACATATCCAGTGACTTACTCGGGTCTAAGAGGCCTTGAGTCCCCTCCCCCATCAATTGCAAAAATGTTTTTTGCAAAATGCTGATCTCCGAAGATGTATCTTGGAAAGCAAGGAGGTGTTTATGGACCATGGTGTGGGAAATGCCCAACTGCGCCGTCTCCTCGCTGGACTTCGGGGCGTTGAGAAGACCTGCTGCTGGTTTCTGTTCTCGGGCTCAGGGGTCACTCCAGTTGAACTGGGCTGACTGGGCTGCGCAAAATAACCACACAAGAGACACAAAGAACCTTTTTCTTTGGGGTCGCTGTGATGGCTCCTCTGACCTTAAGGGTCCACAGGAAGAGAGAGAGTGAGAAGATATTCAAATGAGGCAAGGGGTCAGGTTTCAGGGGGCTTGTCCACTGTGAACAGGTTGACTTAACACCTGGGTAGGCCACACCCAAGCACACAGTAAGAGAAGGGGACACACACAAGGCACTTCCAGGGATGATTCTATCCTAAACGGGGCAAGGGGTTATATCACAAAGGGACAGGTGAGCGTAGCTTCACCCATGGGGCTTTAGCAAGACACACCCATGCAGGGGACACCGACCCTCGAACCCAAGAAGGGTGGGGAAAGCTCTGCCACATTTCTGTGACTGAGCGCCTCAGCACCCAGCCGGGGAGTGTGACTCAGTCACATGTAAGGTTGGTCTCCCACAACCTATAGCACTGAAGCCCAGCCCCCAGTCCATTCTCAGGAGTCCTTTTGCTCACATCCCCTACTAACACCTGGCCTAGTTCCCAGGCTGGCTTTTGTCATCTCCTGATACAGAAGTGACTCAGGCTCTGCTTGGGCCCCACCAACAGCCAAGAATTTGGGGCAGGCCACTTCTATTTAGTTTCCCAGCCACCATTAGCCCTTGAATTAGACCTAGGGCAGCTGCATCAGCAGGTAACCAGGTTCTCACTGATCTGAGGTATGTTCTGGCCTCAGGAGTATATCCATAACATGGTTTTGTGACCATGGTAGAGTTCTGGTTTCCTCTGTGCTCCCAAGGATTGACCTGGGCCCTTGGCACTGAGGTTGGTTGTAGTGAAGGCCCTTCTTATCCCACTGATGTGGAGTCGAAGCACATGTCTCTCAATTTCCTGACGATGCTGATGGTGCTGGTGACTGTTTCCAGGTGTAGTTCCGGGACTGCTCCCCCACACTCCTACCCTCTAGGCCCTCGCTCACTGAGTGTGATTCAAGGATCACCAGGGCTAAGGGACCGTCCTCCCTCTGGTCCCCAGTGGGTACAGTCCAGCCCGTCCAAAGTGCAGGCAGCGAGATGGTGGTGAGTCCCAGTTTCCTGGCACTGGAACTGACAGTTCTCATGCAGATGATTTGAAGCAAGATCACCAGGACACCCCTGTACAGTATGTGTCCAGCCACAAATGAATCTGCTGTGCTCTGGGCAGCCACCCCATCCCCGCAAGGGCACAGCCCTCCTGGCTCAGCCTCCTATCCTGGGTGGTCAGAGCAGAAAGGGTGAATGAGTCGTGTGCTGGGGAGGGCCAGGTTCTGGACCCTAGGGCCTTAGGTCCAACGAGCCCTTCAGGTGGAAGGGGCGTGGGAATCCCGTTCCCTAGGCTGGCGCCTCCCGGGCCTCCGGCGCCCCTGGTCAGTTATCTCCGCTCTCGTCGCCATGATTAAGCGGCCCACGCACCTGAACAGTCCCCGAACCTCCCGCGCCTGATCGGAGGGGACGTGGGCGGGGCGGGGCGGGGCGTCCCGGGCCCCGCCCCTGGGCCCTAGCGAGCCGCGCGCGCCGCGGCAGGGTGCACAGCCCCTGCAGAGAGCCAAGCGGCGCGGCGCGCAGGGTGAGTGCCCGCCCCGGAGGGGTGTGCGGGGCGCGGCTCCGCCTGCCACCCGCGCCCCTGCCCCGGAAAGGTGTCCCGGCGCCCCACCTAGCTGGGTCGAGGAGGCTGTGCTGGCGGCCGCCGGCGGCGTCAGGCGGAGCAGAGGAGACGATCAGGAGGGGCAGGAAGATGGGTGTGGGTCCCCAGCAACTTTCGAGGCCGCCCCTGCCGGCCTGCGCTCAGAGTTTTCCCGCTGCGCCTCGCTCGGAGGGCGGGATGCATTCTACAGATGAGGAAAGCAAAGCTCCCCCAACTAGGAAGTGGCAGAGCCCGAGCCCGCCAGTGGAGGGTTGGCATTCCAGGGCCAGAGGCTGGGAGAGGAGTCGCTGCTTCTGAACTCTGCAGACCATGCGGTGGCTGGAGGCGCTCTGTGGTCTGGCAGGGTCTCCCCTGGCTAGGGCAGGGGCCAGGGGGAACAGGGTGGGGGCTAGCCAGCGGAGGCCAGGTCTGCAGCCCGCTCTGAGCTGGGACTGCCAAGCCTGCAGCCCTGGTCCTGGCTCCTCCCTGGCTTGGCCATCAGCTGGTCATGTTATGTTGGGCCTTGCTTCTCCCGGCTTCAGTTGACCCCCCTTTAAGACAGGGCTCCATCGCCCCTCCCCCAGCATCACCATCAGGGATTAGTGTGAGTTGGTGTGGGTGAAGGGGACAGATGGGGGTCTCTGGTTATTTTTGTCATCTCATATCTGTGGGGGTGGCCAAGTCCCAAAGAGGAAGTAGAGGTCCAGAGAGGGCAAGTGACTTGCTTAATGTCACACAGTGTGACACAGTGTCTCAACCTGGGTGGGGCCCTCAGTCCTGGTTCCTTGCCCTCTGCCCATGGCCGGAGTCATGTCCTTGAATGATGAAAGCCAGGCCCTCCTGCCCATCCTTTGCTGTTCAGGAACCTGCCCTTCTGCGGCCCCTGATGCCTGCCCTCAGAGTTCACTCCTTTCCCAGGCTGTGAACAGGCCTGTGGTTTCCTATTCAGAATTACGGAAACCAGGCCCAGGGACATGTAGGTCATGTCCACACGGCAGGCAGAGCACACTAGTCTCCCCAGGGGGTGAAGGGTGGTCCTCAACCATGTCTGTCTCCCTGCTACCTAGAGAGCTAAGGAAACTGAGGGACCCTGGGACCGGAGAGTAGTGGGCACAGCAGGCAGAGGGGTCCTGACTCTCCAGCAGGTTATCTGCAGGGCCAACTGGAGGCCACCCTGCCCCTCTCCCTGCCTGTGTTTGAGCAAGGCGCTGCCAGGCCCTTCCTGCCATTTCAGTTTCGTTTTTGTTGGTTTCAACACCTGGAAGCCTGTCCCAAGTCCCCAGGGGCGATGGATACAGCCAGGCGGCCTGGGGCCTTGGGATGGCTCCACCCCTGAAGACACCCTTCCCAGGCCAGTCTCTGTGGCCTTGCTGAGTCCCCGCAGAACAAGTAGAGCCGCCCACCCTACGGGCTCAGACTACAGGAAGGTGGGAGGGCGCTGGCTATCCCTGAGGACAAGCCCCATCCAGGCCCTGTGTGTCACTTGTCACAGCTGATGTTTGGATAAATAAAGGCAAGCCTGGGGGCAGCCCTTTGCCTGGGGTGCTAGGGATAAGCAGGACTCAGGTGAGGGCAGACAGAGCATGAACAGAGGGGTGAGCACAGCCAGTGTCACCCCAGTGCTGGGGTGGGTACAAGGGACAGGGTGGAGGCAGGTGGGCTTGCTGAGAGAGCTTGAGGCTGGGCTGGCCTCATGCCCAGTTGTGGCGCTTACTTCCGGTGTGATCTCAGCACCTAACTGCCCCTTCCTGGGCTTCAGTTTTCCCCTTCGGTCACATGGGGACAGTAGTCACAACTCTGAACTACATGAACAGAGCTTTAGGAGGTGCCAGCTGGGTTGGGAGCCTTCGTGGCTTGCCCTGACCTCACCCCCCCCCCCCACAGCACCATGGGCTCCATGTTCCGGAGTGAGGAGGTGGTCCTGGTCCAGCTCTTCCTGCCCACAGCTGCTGCATACACCTGTGTGAGCCAGCTGGGCGAGCTGGGGCTCGTGGAGTTCAGAGACGTGAGTGGGGCCAGGGCGGGCGGGGGGGCCTTCATCCTGGGGCATTGCTGCTGGGGTGGGCTGTGATCTAGGCCTAGATGGGGACCCACCTGTCCCATAATCGCCCCTGGTCCCACATGCATCCCAGCAGCCCTGGCCATAGGTCCTTTGTCCTCAGGAAGCCCGCACCTGAGGCTCCCAGGCACATGGGGATCTGGAGGCTCAGCCCTTTTTGAAGAAGGTGGCTAAGGCCTGAGGAGAGAGAGGCCTTGGCCCAGGGTGGGACCTCCCTGGACCTCTCCCTGACACACTGACCCCTCCATGTGGCCACCGCAGCTCAATGAGTCGGTGAGTGCCTTCCAGAGACGCTTCACAGTGGACATTCGGCGCTGCGAGGAGCTGGAGAAGACCTTCAGTGAGTTGGCCCAGGCCCATCCCAGGCTGGCTTTATGGAAGTGGCCCTGGGCAGGCAGGTAGAAGACAGGAAGGAGGTGCAGGCAGGCCCCCATCTGTGGGTGCTCCTGGGAATGGGCCTGGGTGGGCTGTGCAGAGGGCCCAGGCGAGGGCTGGTTTGGGGGAGCGTGGGAGTTTTGTCCTGTGGACTTTGGGAGCCATGAGGGCTCTCAGCAGGTGAAGGGCATGGACAGAGCTTACTCCTAAGTGATGGACCGGGTGGACGGAGCCCAGGGTGTAGGGCTGGACTCCCCAAAGCAGAGCTGCTTCTTGGACCCACCATGGCAATCTCCAGGAGGTGCCTGTGGCCAACATCCAGCCCCTGCCTCCTGACTGGGAGGATAGAATAGGTTTTATTTCATGGCCTGTTAGTCTGACCAACAGCTTTAGAGTGATCAGGCCTGCAGGCTGACCTCAGTGGGGCTCTGTCCCTGGGCTGGGCAGTGGCCAAGAGATAGGAACACAGAGTCACCCAGGAAGGGAGCAGAACTTTGGGGATAGGGGTGTGGGCTGGGTTTTTTTTCTGGGGCTCACAGGCTTGGTGAATTAGTTAGCAGGTGGCAGTAGAGTTTGGGGTGCACTTGGAATCCTCCAGATGTGGCCAGTCCTTAGCTAGTAGTGGATATTAGCTGGTGTGGCCTCTGCTGAACCTGCCCTCTGTGCTCAGCCTTTCTAGAGGAGCAGGTGCGGCGGGCTGGCCTGGCACTGCCCCCTCCCGAAGGGAGGCTGCCAGCGCCCCCGCCACGCGACCTACTGCGCATCCAGGAAGAGACAGAGCGCCTGGCCCAGGAGCTGCGGGATGTGCACGGCAACCACCAGGCCCTGCGGACCCAGCTGCACCAGCTGCAGCTCCACTCGGCCGTGCTGCAGCAGAACCACGGCCCTCCGGTCAGCTGCGGCCTGGGGGGATCGGCAGGGAAGGTGTGCAGGCCCCACCTGTGCCCGGGTTCATGGTGTCTCCCACTCCCAGCCGGCCGCTGCCCACACCGATGGGCCCTCTTCAGAGAGAACTCCCCTGCTCCCGCCTCGCCAGGGACCGCACCAGGACCTGAGGGTCAAGTGAGTGAGGGAGGACCTCTTGTCCTTTCCCACCAGCCCCAGCCCTGACCCCAGGTGGGGGCAGGTCAGGCCCCCTGCGGGCCTGGCCCTGTGCTCCCTGGGGCTCAGCTCACCCTCTGCCTCCTCCCAGGCCCTGCCCTGGGAGGTTTCTGCCCTTCTGGCCCTGCACTGGGGTCTCCTGCCTTTTCGGGCCAGGGTGGGAGGTTGGAAGCGCCTCCATTCCTGGCTGGCAGCTTTGTGGCAGGTGCCGTGGAGCCCCGCAAGGCTGCGGCCCTGGAGCGCCTGCTGTGGAGGGCCTGCCGCGGCTTCCTCATCGCCAGCTTCCGAGAGGCCGAGAGGCAGCTGGAGGACCCGCTGACGGTGAGCCCGAGGGGCCTGCCGGGCTATCCTGGGCGGAACCAGAAGTCCAGGGTGACCTGAGCCCTCCCGCAGGGTGAGCCTGTGACCTGGATGACCTTCCTCATCTCCTACTGGGGTGAGCAGATTGGACAGAAGATCCGAAAGATTACGGACTGGTGAGCCACCCGGTCACACCGGCTGCCCCCACCCTGGATCAGCAAGCCTCCACCTGCTCAGAACCCTCCCTTGCCTGGGTCTGGGCATTTGCCTGCCCTGTGTGCCCAGGACCCTCCATGTCACCTCCACCCTCCTGGCAAGCTCCCTTCTGACCGTCCCCCGTCCCGACCAGCTTCCACTGCCACATCTTCCCATTCCTGGAGGAAGAGGCGGCCCGGCATGGGACCCTGCAGCAGCTGCAGCAGCAGAGCCAGGAGCTGCAGGAGGTGGGTGCCCACCCGACCGGCCCCTGCCTGCCTCCTGCCCAGCCCCTGCTGACCACCCGCTCCGGCCCCAGGTCCTCCGGGAGACAGAAGGGTTCCTGAGCCAGGTGCTGGGCCAGGTGCAGCAGCTGCTGCCACGGGGGCAGGTGCAGGTCCGCAAGATGAAGGCGGTGTACCTGGCCCTCAACCAGTGCAGCGTGAGCAGCACGCACAAGTGCCTCGTCGCGGAGGCCTGGTGTGCCACGCAGGACCTGCCCGCCCTGCAGCAGGCGCTGCGGGAGAGCTCGGTGAGCAGCGGGCTCCGGGCTTGCCCACTCCACCGCCGCCGCGGACACCTCCTCCGCCTCATCACCTCCTTTCTCAGCACCTTTGCCCCGGGGGAGGGGGTTCCCTCTCCTCCCAGCCACCTCCTCCAAGGGGTCAGCCAGGGTCCCTGAGGCCTCCGCATCCCTCTCCATCCATCTCTCTTTCCTGGGAATTCCAGAGCGAGGCAGGGGTGAGTGCCGTGGCTCACCGCATCGCCTGTAGGGACATGCCCCCGACCCTCATCCGCACCAACCGCTTCACGGCCAGCTTCCAGAGCATCGTGGATGCCTACGGCGTGGGCTGCTACCAGGAGGTCAACCCTGGTGAGAGCCACGGGGCCCTCGCCCTGGACAGCCCTTGGACCCTCTGCCTGGGCCTTGGGGAGGCCCAGCTGCCCCATGGAGTGCAGGCCTGGGTGGGGTGGGGGGCTTCCTCCTCCTCACGTCTGTGGGGCTGTTGGTGGTGCAGCTAGTCCCAGCGGGGGGGGCTGCAGCCTTGTGGTCCAGCAGGCTGGAGGTCCAAGTTCAAGGGTCGGTGGGCAGGTTCCTTCTGAGACCGTGAAGGGGAACGTTGTGGGCCTCGTCCTGGGCCTGTAGGTGGCCATCTTCACAACCACATGGGATCCACCCTTTGTGTCCGCCTCTGTCCAAATTTCCCTACTCATAAGGACACTGGCCCTGTTAGATTAGAGCCCACCCTAATGGCCTCATCGTTTCTGACCACCTCTGTAAAACCCCTTCTCCCGGTGAGGTCCTGGGAGTTAATGTGCAGGAAATCTTTTGGGGGGTCACTGTTCAGCCCATGTAGGGTGTGTGTATTGGAATCGACACCCAAATGAGAACTCACCCCATTTTACTGAAGGGAAATGGACTTGGGAGATTCAGTGACTGGTTTGGCCTTCTGGAACTTTCTGTGTGGCCTCCAGGATTGCTTCTGGACTCTCTGTCCTTTCTGTGGTTCTGCTTAACACTCTTTTTAAAAATAGCAGCAGCAGCCAGGCGTGGGGGGTCGCACCTGTAGTCCCCGCTACTCTCGAGGTGCGAGTATCATCTCTAGGAGATCCACATCAACCCGGGCAACAGGAGGCCCTGGTTCAGAAATAAATAATTGACTTTTCGTCAGGAACCTGTGGCCTGCCAGGTCCTGCCCGGGGACACTCATTTATAATACCCTGTGAAGTGGTGCTGCCTTTCTCCCTGTTTTACAGATGGGGAAACAGGCTCAGAGAGGTTAAACAGCAAGCCCAAGGTCACAGAGATCACCAGTGGCAAATGCTGAAACACCAAGTGGTGTCCCTGCCTCACAAATGCTCCTAAGCTTGGGGTGGGGTGGGGTGGGGGCCTCTGTCGTCTGTGGTCCTCAAGGGAACAGATGCCAGCTCCCGTGTGGTCCTGGCTGACCTGCGCCCCGCTGCCTGCAGCTCCTTACACCATCATCACCTTCCCCTTCCTCTTCGCCGTGATGTTTGGCGACGTGGGCCACGGGCTGCTCGTGTTCCTCTTTGCCCTGGCCATGGTGCTTGCTGAGAACCGGCCCGCCGTGAGGACTGCGCAGAATGAGGTGTGGGCCGGGGGCGCCTGGTGGACGGGGTGGTGGGGCTGGGCATCCCCTGACCTGGCACCCCCAGATCTGGCAGACCTTCTTTGGGGGCCGCTACCTGCTCCTGCTCATGGGCTTGTTCTCCATCTACACCGGCTTCATCTACAACGAGTGCTTCAGCCGCGCCACTACCATCTTCCCCTCGGGCTGGAGCGTGGCTGCCATGGCCAACCAGTCAGGCTGGAGGTGAGGCCAAGGCCCCAGCCCACCCTCAGTCCCGGCCTGTCCTGTGGCTCCCCAGGCTCCGTGCAGCCCTGACCACTTGCCCACCATTGCCCCAGTGACGCGTTCCTGTCCCAGCACCCACTGCTCACCCTGGACCCCAATGTCACTGGTGTCTTCCTGGGACCCTACCCCTTTGGCATCGACCCGGTGAGTCCTGCAGCTGCAGCACCATGTTGGTGGTGGCCAGAGGGAGACTGGGCAGGGACTTCAGCTCATTCACTCCTAACTGTGGCAGCTGGTGCCCAGCCTCTTCTGGGTGCCAGGCACAGGAGACAGCCAGCACCTGCCTGGCTGGGCCTGTCACCATCACCAGGTAAGCAGAGGCCTGTAAGTGCAGCTGCCTAGCACGTGCTGAGCCCTTAGTGATTTCTTGTGTGGTCTGTGTGACAACCTGGGTGCCCATTAGCGTGATCCCGTGTACAGACTAGGAAACTGAGGCCCAGGCTGCAGGCCCAAGGCCACCCAGCTGGGAAGAGCTGGGGCTTGAGCTCCGGTTGCCAATCACTCCCTCTTCGGCCCCCGTGGCAGTGGCAGAGTCCTGAGGGGGCCAACGGGGCAACAGGAGGCAGGGGCTCCCTGAGTGTGGCCCGCCCTCCCTCCCTCCACCCAGGTCTGGAGCCTGGCCACCAACCACCTGAGCTTCCTCAACTCCTTCAAGATGAAGATGTCTGTCATCCTGGGGGTGACCCACATGGCCTTTGGGGTGCTCCTTGGAGTCTTCAACCACGTGTGAGGGCGGAGTTGCCAGGGGGTGTGTGCAGCTGGGCGGGGCCGGGGTGGTCCCAGTGACCCTGCCTGCTCCCCCCAGGCACTTCCGCCAAGGGTACCGGCTGCTGCTGGAGACCCTGCCTGAGCTCATCTTCCTGCTGGGCCTCTTTGGCTACCTTGTCTTCCTGGTCGTCTACAAGTGGCTGTGTGTGACCGTCACGCATGCTGCCTCTGCCCCCAGCATCCTCATCCACTTTATCAACATGTTCCTCTTCTCCAGCAGCCCCACCAACCAGCCGCTCTACTCTGGGCAGGTGGGCTGGCCAGGCAGTGGCTCACACCCCTCATGGAGACCTTGCAGACTCTGGGCCACCCAGAGTCAGAGGGTCCTCGTCTGAGAAACATGGTGTGGGCCTGAGGCCCCGCAGAGGGACAGTCCCTGTTAGTGACTGATGGGCAGGAGAGCCCCTGGGTGCCTGGGAGAGGGGAGGTGGTCCAAACTTCAGAGTGACTCACCTCTGCTGCAGGAAGTGGTGCAGCACGCATTGGTGGTCCTGGCCTTGGCTATGGTGCCTGTCCTGCTGCTGGGCACACCCTTGTACCTGCTGCACCGGTGGCAGCGAAGCCGCCACTCACCGAGGCCAGCTGTGGGCCAACAGGTAGCTGCTGGGAGCATGTGGTAGGGGAGTTTGGTAGACGTGGCCCTTGACCCTGGCTTCCCCACGGGCTCCAGCGTGGCAGGTAACAGGCCCTCAGGGTGGGCCCCTCCTGGTGCTGGGGCTGCTGACACTGCCTGCTCCTCACCCTCTATCTCTAGGACAAGAATGAGGACAAGGCCGGGTGCATGGACTCCCCCGATGCTTGCGAGAAGGGCTGGAGCTCTGACGAGGAGAAGGCGAGGTGCCCAGGGGGTGAAGAGGAGGCCGAGGTGGGTGCAGTGCCGCCTGGAGGGGGCAGCTGGCTGCCGGCCCCTGCCAGCCCTCTCACCGCCACCCTTCCCCAGTTTGCTGCCTCCGAGGTCCTGATGCACCAGGCCATCCACACCATCGAGTTCTGTCTGGGCTGCATCTCCAACACGGCCTCCTACCTCCGCCTCTGGGCCCTGAGCCTGGCCCACGCCCGTAAGTGGTCTGCCGCAGCAGAGTGGGCAGCCAGGGTGGCCCACATCCTGCTCCAGCTCACACACAGCAGCTGTCTGGGTGACCTGGGCAGGTCCCTTCCCTCTGGGCCTCAGTATTCCTCCCCGGCCCCTTGAGCAGGGAGGCTCCAGGGGCTGGAGGATGCCCATTTGCCTGACCCCACCGCCCGCTCCCTCCGCAGAGCTGTCCGAGGTGCTGTGGGCCATGGTGATGCGCGTGGGCCTGCGCATGTGCGGGGAGGTGGGCGTGGTGTCTGTGGCGCTGGTCCCGGTCTTCGCCACCTTCGCAGTGATGACCGTAGCCATCCTGCTGGTAATGGAAGGGCTGTCTGCCTTTCTGCACGCCCTGCGGCTGCACTGGTGAGTACCCGGGCTGGCTGGGTGGCAGGGTGGGTGGGGGCTCCCCTGACCAGCCTGCCCCTTGGCCCCCAGGGTGGAGTTCCAGAACAAGTTCTACGCTGGCACAGGCTACAAGCTGAGCCCCTTCACCTTCGCCATCCAGGATGAATAGTGCCCCCCGCGGGCCATGCCCTCCTCCTTACCTTCCTGAGGCAGAAAAGGAATAAAGAGCCCCAGGCCCAGGAACCGCACTCCGGCCTCTTCCTCCCCCAGGGGCTGGACTGAGACCAGGAGGGCAGGGCCCTGGGTACCAGGCTCCTCCAGCCAGCCTCCACCAGCCCCTATACCTGTCTCCCTTACTCCCTCTGTGGGGGGCAAGGACCCCCACAAACACACCTCCAAAGAACCAGACTGCGGGGGAGGGGGAGGGAGGGACATTTCCAGCACATTCTAGCTTAGACTGTCTTTCCAGCCAGGCCAGGGGAGTGAGGTCCGTGTCCTTGGAGGTATGCAGAGTGGCTGGCACCTCTGTTCCACACCTTGTACAGGTTCCCAGAGGTTGAGGCACTCTGAAGTGGAGCAGCAGCGACACCAAGCCTAGCCTGCTGCTCCTCATGGGACTATGGGTCATCCACCCAGGGCCACAGTCCTGCGGGGAAGGCAGGGGCTGTCCAGAGTCGCTAAGACTTGCCCAGGGCCCTGAGGGTCAGAAGGGGGCTCAGTCCCCATCCCAAGGCCATCATCTCATCCCTCCCCGGTCTCCTGCCCCAGGCCATCCTCCCTGCATAATGGGTGGGGGTGGGCTTCGACCTCCCCAAGTCTCCTCTGGCTGTGCCAGTGGAGGCCAAAGCCAGTGCTTTAGAGGCCAACAGGCTACTAAGTAGTTCTTCCAGCTGGAGCACCAGGAACAAAGGTAGCTTTGAGGCCAGCGCTGCCCTGGGCACAGTGAGCTGGCCATGGCTGTGGCTGTGGCCGTGGCCAGCTGCTAAAGGGGCCTGACCCTTGGATCTTGGACTGTCCTGTTGAGGACCCCAGAGGCCAGGTGGGTGTGCAAGGGACTGTGGTAGTTCACATGCCTGGAAGACTGGGCCCAGAGAGGGGGCAGCAGTGCCTGGCCACGAATGGCTGGGGTGGGGGCGGGGGGCAACATGGGTTCAGGCTGTGAAGGGACCTGGGCTAGTCGGTGGCTTTGATCCTTGGGGAACAGAGTTGAGCAGACCTTGGGGGCGGGGGGTATGTGACAGCAGATGCTCAGTCTAATGGAGGTCTCCTGGGGAGACACCAGTGGGTTGCCATGGAAACAGCACATGCCTGGCTGTGGGGTGGCACCTTTCAGGGTCACCTGCCTTGAGGACTGGCAGTGACCAGGCTGGGCTGAGTTCTCACTCAAGGTTATGGTCTGGCTCAGGGGAGGACCCAGACAGCACTCCAGGGTCAGCTGAGCTTCACGGAGAACAGGTCAGGGTGGCTTAATTTTGTGCACCATCTTCAATGGAAGGATTCAGAGGTGTGAGGGTGCTGCACGCGCTGGCAGGACTCCCCTGAAGGAGCCCCATCACCTGCAGACCTGACCCCAAGGCATCTAGGTTGGCCCGGGGCTTGTAAGCAAGCAGGGCTGTTCAAGTGTGGCTGGAACCAGAGCTGGGGTAGGGCCATGACCTAAGTGGTGAGTGATCACACATCCTGTCCTGCTCAAGATCCTCAGTGTCCAGATGGGTGAACAGTTAAGTCCCCTCCTGCCTCCCCCACCACCTGCTCCACTCCCCAGACAGCCACTGTCCCAATTTCCTCTGCAGAATCAGCAGGCACAGAACTGGGTTGAGTCGGGGAGGGTAACAGGCTGTCCTAGGGCCAGCATGCTGGGCAAGAGCCCCATGGGACTTGGGGCCAAGGGCAGACCCTGGGGACTGGGGAGTCCAGAGGAAAATCAGAACATGGCGGACAGACAAGTGTCACAGGAGGAGGAGAGTCAGATGCTCTTGTCCACAGCTAGGGCAGGGCACTGCCATCTAGAACCTCCCATGGGCACATGGAGGTAAGAGGAGCCCTCCCCAAGGTTAGGACACATCCAGAGAACAGCTTGAGGCTGAGTCTTAATTTTATTATTTATCTGTGTAGTACAGTCTCTGTGGTAGCAGAAATATATGCACAAAAACAATTCAGAGTTTAGAGTAAAAAAAGTCGGCTAAAATTTACCCACTGGACACTAATGCTCATGGATTCACAGCTCTGCTCCATTGCACCACAACCCACGTCAGTGCCGCTGTCTCCCAGAGTGACACCAGGACGTGGGGGTGGGGGTGAGGGTGAGGGATGGGGCTGGGAATGCTGGTCAAGGCCAGGGCAGCAGCCTACGCGGAAGGATTCCCTGGAGGCTGCCTGTGGCCAGGAGAGGGAAGGAGGGAAAGGCTGGGGGCTGAGGTCCCCACACTGTGAAGCCAGAATTACAAAGCACACCAGTCAGAAGGGGCAGGTGCAGGTCATGTCCAGTCATAGAGAAGCTCGTCCACGTATCAACATATGTAGCAGGCGCAGGAGGGCTGTGGCCATCTGCCCGCAGAGCTCCTGGCAGCTCCTATGTAGCCTGCTTCTCCAGCTGCCACCGCTCTGCCCAGAGGAACATGCTGCCCGGGGAGCCACTTCACAGTGTGTCCACTCCCTCGTGTCCCTTGGGAGCAAGAGTGTCTACATCACATTGTCACCTACAAGAAGCCTGGTTACAACGTTCACCAGTATATTAATGATAAATTTAAAATAAAAAAACCAAAAAACATTAACCGAAGTACCTGCAGCAATGCTGTCCGCTCCTGCTGGCGGCCGTGCCCACCGGAAGCCTCACAGCCCGGCGTGAAAGGCCGCCTCTGGTTCCGGGGCTCAGAGGCTGATCTACTGCTCTACTGCCTACACTCTGCTTCCCCACCTCGTCCAAGTCTTAGTGAGATCGTCAACAAGGGATGAGATAAATGTCACTCCACTTTAATGTCTTCATTATCATACATATCTGTGTTCAGAGATGTCCGGGCCTTCATGCTGCAGGTGCCACAGTCACAGTGCAGAGGGCCCAGCTCACGGTCTCCCGCAGTCCAGTGGCGAAGGGCTGCTCCTCCCCAGTCACACCCCAAGCTTCCTCTTCTGGTCGAAATAGGCATCAAATCTGGCTTGCGCATACTCCTGGGAGACAAGGAACAAGGAAGGCCAAGGCCTCAGCAAGGGCTGTACTCCTGGGGCCCTGCCCACGCGGCCGGCCCAGGGCCCAGCTAAGAAGACACCGAGCACAGTGTGGCCCATGCTGCAGCTGCTCTGAAGACACAAGCTGCTGAAGCTCTCAGCACTGTCCCCACACCCCCTTATCTCAAAGCTAATGCCTGTCGAGTGCCACTCAGAAGGACCTCATCTACAAACCTGGCCTTGTGACTGCCCAGAACATTGGGCAGCCCTGGGACAATTCCAATTTTAACAGCAAAGATCCCAGAATGTGGGGAGACAGAGAGAGAGGTCAACTAAAGAAGGTGCCCGTATTTTCTAAGATCACTGGCAGCGGTCACAAGGAGCACTACACGGGGGAAGGGCTGGCCAGGCTATTTCTGCTGTCAAGCTGCCATTCCCAGATCTGCTCCCCTATCTCTCCAGCCGCACGCACAGCAATTTCTGAGGACCCACTCCCAATCCAAAGTCTGCGCTAGGAGGGTTACCTTTTTCTTTTTTCTGAGTACTAGGGATTGGACTCAGGAGTACTTAACCACTGAGCCACATCCCCAGCCCTTTTTATATTGTGTTTAAAAACAGAGTCTCACTAAGTTGCTTAGTACCTTGTTAAGCTGCTGAGGCTGACTTTGAACTCTTGATCCTCCTGACTCAGCCTCCTGAGCCACTGGGATCACAGGCATTATGGGCATGTGCCACCATGCCTGGCTACACTGTGACTTTTTGAAAAATTAATCTGGAGGCAGAATTTCTATCCCCCAAACATGAACCCATTTTAAGGGTACACTGTAGTTTCCACAGACACGCCCACCATGGCAAGAAAGGCCCCGGGTCCCCTGGAGTTCTTGGGGCTTTGCAGTCAGTACCCTTCCTCTCCCCCCAGTACACAGGCAGTGCTGCCCTGACCTGTCCCTAGACAGGCCTCAGTCCTACAGCAGCACCCACAACCACAGCATGTTGGTTCTGGCACCTGAGAGTACTCTGCGCTGTGCAGAACAGGGACCCGCTCCTTCCCCGGGTCCCACTCTGTTTACGTCAGCACCTGCCCATCAGCACTGTGCAATTTCCCGCTTAGGTCTATTGAAACTGAAGGTGTGGCCGTGGTGGCGCACACCGGCAACCCCAGCAACCTGGGAGGATGGGACATTTGGATCGCCAGTTTGAGGCCAGCCTCAGCAACTTAGCATGACCTCGTCTTAAAAAATAAAAAGGCTTGGGATGTAGTTCAGTGATAAAGCACCCCTGGGTTCAATTCCCAGTATGTAACAACTAAACTTGAAAAATAAAATAAAGGTGCCATGAGCAGTTGAGCACTACCAGTTGTGGCCCACCTAGCATGTGGGATGCCCTGGGTTCCAGCCCTGGCACTGCAAAAGAAGAAAACGGGGAGGGAGAGGGGTGCTTCCATTTTGTCGAGCTCCCCTTTATCTGGCTCTCTGTACCCGCGGGTTCCACATTCATGGACTGAAAATACTTAGGGGGAAAACCTGCATCTGTACTGAACCTGCAGACCTTCCCTGGCACAACAGTCACACAGCACTGTATCTTAAGGTAGCATAAGCACTCCAGAGGTGACCAAAATGACAAGGGAAGATGCATGCAGTATTTTATGCCAGGGACTTGGACACAGCAGATTAGGGGAGAGGGTTCTGGAACCACTACTGCTGGACTTCCCCACTACACTTTTCCCCTTTAACTGTGTTTTATGGAACTTATAAAATATTTGCCTAGATCATAAGACTTTTCTTTTTTCTTACAGAAGCCTAATAGTTTGGCCTTTTACAAGTCCATTTCAAGTTAACTACAGTACATGGCATGAGATCAAGAGATTTTTTCCCCCCATAACTCTATGGTTGTTCCTTTTTTTTTTTTTTTTTTTTTTTGGTAATGGGGATTGAACTCAGGTGCACTCCACCACTGAGCCACATCCCAACCCTATTTTGTATTCTATTTAGAGACAGGGTCTCACTGAGCTGCTTAGTGCCTCACTGTTGTTGAACTTTGAACTCGCCATATTCCTGCCTCAGCCTCCCAAGCTGCTGGGACTCAGGCGTGCACCACCACACCTGGCCCCACATCATTTTTTGAAATGAATTACTTTGGTCCTTGAGTGGGAGAGTGTGTGACTGTGGACTGAACCCAGGGGAGCTTTACCAATGAGTCACATCCTCAGGCATTTTTCTTTTTTGAGACAGGGCCTTGCCAAGTTGCTGAGGGTAGCCTCAAACTTGTGGTCCTTCTGCCTTAGCCCCTTCCCAGTAGTTGAGATTATAGGCATCTGCCACCAGGCCCATTCTTATTATGAATTCAATTTGTTTAACAAACATATAGCCATTTCTTATATCAGTTTTGGACATTTTTATCTTTCAAAGACTATGCATTTTCATCTACACTGTCAAATGTGCTGGCACAAGGACTGGGACTGTAGCTCAGCAGTAGAGCACTTGCCTAGCACATGGGAGGCACTGGGTTCAATTCTCAGCACCACATTAAAAAATTAATTAATTAATTGAAGGTACTATTCCCATGTACAACTGACAATATTTCTTAAAATAAGTTTACACAGTTAGACCTGCAGAGACCCTCCTCTTGACACCCTATATTGGTATTGTGTTCTTTTTTTCTTGTCCAGCCTCAAACCTGGAATCCTCTGCCTCAGCTTCCTGAGACACTGAGGTTACAGGCAAGTGCCACTGTGCCCACTGGGGATTTTCTAGATAGCCTTCTGTTTTCTAGATATTCACCTTTTCTAGACATCAGTTAAGTTCCATGAGGACACATCCTTTAAGATTTATTAAACCCTGTTCTCTGGCACAGCACGCACTGCTCTGAGCGCAGGAAGAGTGGATACCGCAGCCGAGCACCCGGTAAGGACCAGCAGGTGAAGCTGCCTGTCTCGGCAACTGCTGATAACCGCCTGCCCACCCTTCCCAGAGGACTGGAGCATGCACTCTAACTCTGCATCGCCTCTTTCCTCTCAGTCTCGTCAGTTTTGTTTCATGTCTTTTACAAGACAGCTGGGTGCACACTTAGTATTTTACGTCCTCTTATTACAAAATGCCATTCTTCGTCTCTGGTAATATTTCTTATTCTGAAGTCGGCTTTGTCTTACAGTGTCATCTGACCAGGACTCCAAATCTGCTTAAAAAACCCAATTTCCTCTTATTTATCTGCCTAATGGTGTCTTTACATCACCAAACCTTCTGCCTAGAAGTGGAAATCACCTTGTGCAAAGCCGAGGAGGACAAGACGAACCAGCACCTCCCACACCTGCCCCAGGGAAAAGGAGCCATAGGCCTGGCTTGTGCCATGTCCTCCCTCAAGATGAAGCCCCAGCACAGGGACTTCTCTAATGGTGTCAATGTCAAGGACAGTTCTTACCATTAAAATCACAGCCTGAATTGGCTACAAGCCAATTGGCTACAATTCTCCTGAAAAAGAACCAGGAGATAAGTACCAATACTTATCAACAAGAACCAGCTTCTGAGGCTGGGGACATGGCTCACGCGGTAGCGCGCTCGCCTGGCATGCGTGCGGCCCGAGTTCGATCCCCAGCACCACATACAAACAAAGATGTTGTGTCTGCCGAAAACTAAAAAATAAATATTAAAATTCTCTCTCTCACTCACTCTCTCTTTAAAAAAAAAAAAAAAAAAGAACCAGCTTCTACCCAAGCTGGGCACTACAGGTGGGCACAAGGAGTGGGCAGATGACCACACCCTGGCAGCGCAGGAGGAGTGCCCACACTCTGCCACTCAGGCTCCCTTATGTCAGAAGGTCTCGATCTCTCCAGGCCTCCTCAGACCACAGGCCTATCCGGCACTGCCCTGAAGCTGGGTGGCAAAGCCAGTGGGCCCAGGAGTGAGGTGACCTCCCAAGGCAACAGTGAGAACCATGCTGTCCTGGTGCCACCAGGTCACCACTTTCAGGGTCTGAGGGAGCAGGTCACTTCTGCGAGTAACAGCCACTGCTTCCAAGCACTCCCATGCGTCACAACATTTCCCCAGGAGAAGATGAAAGCTACCTCTGAACATACCATGTACCCAAATTCAATGGCTGAAATCTTGGCCTGTACAATGGACCAAAGTCCCCAGAAGAAGTGGGATGCGAGGGCAAACCTGTAATCACAGAAGAAACACGTGAGCTGCTCAGTGCCGTCACACCCCTGATGAAGCCCTTTCCCACTGGATGGCCAGCCATCTGGGCTGGATGGGGACAATGCCTTGACCACTTGGTGGGATTACATGTCAGAGGGCACAGAGGGACCTGCAGGAGTGAGCACACCCAGCTGCCTGGCTACAGCACACTGACAGCACAGGGACGGAGACCATGGTGGCCTCACTGTTGCCACAAGTGTGAATGCGTAGGCGCAAGTGAGAAGAGCCCTGCTGGCCCGCTGCCTCTCCCCACAGGCCCTGGGACACTGCTCCCCAGGCAAGGGCTTCCCAAATCCACCCTCATGCCTCTCCCTCCCTGCCACAGAAGGGGAATGAAGCAGATGAGTGCGTGAAACTTGCCATCTTCTCCAGCCCTCTCTGTCACCCTGAATCCACATTCCTCCTCAACAATGCCTGAGTGTCATTTACATGACCAGCCTTCCTCTGCGTCCTGGAGGTCCCTGGCCCACCTAGTCCCTTGGTACTGCCCTTTCTGTGGGTTCTCCTCTGCCTGCGCTTTTCTGTTTCCACTGGTTCCAGAAGCCAGAGTGTCACATGAGCACAGTGGCAGCAGCCTCACACAGCCAGGTCCTGCATGTGGCTGGACCAGGCGTACTGTCCCGGTACCCAGTACCTATCTTAGCTGCTGATGCTGGAATCAGATCTCTACGGTCCCTGCCACCACAGGAAGCAGAAGCCTCGATTTTGGATGAGGTGTGGGCATGACCAAGCACTCCAGGCAGTTTATAAAGGGGCAAGCTGTACTCGCGGCTTTCAAAGGAGGATCGTTACCTATTGACTTCAAGCAACATGTCTTCTTCTATAGCAGATTTTTCTTCACTACTGAGGTTTTCAAAGTCATTCTGGAATGTAGTCAAGTAACTGGAAATAAAATGGAGCTTAAAAAAGAAGTGACTGTGTTAGGACCAATGCTGGTTGAAACAGACGCCGTTCATCGCTGTGCAGAGCACGCAGCTGTGTCCACGGTTCTGCTGGAAGGGTGTGGCGTGGGGGCTGCTAGTTCTGGAGGAGTGATTCAGATAGACTCAGTTTTTTCCCTAATTAAATCCACACTTAAGTTTTTCATTATCTCCATTTTGGAGAAAGGTTTGAAAGAGGGTACACCTCTTTCAAACCTTTCTCCAAAATGGCCTGTGTGCCATGCGGGGCTCCCAGGAGCAAAGCTCTGGGTTACCCTGGCGCTGGCAGGCGTCCCCTCAGGGTGGAAACTGCACTGGACAAGACGGAAGTGTGTGCCTTCCCACCCTGCAAGGCCAAGACTATTTACACACATGTTCATAAACTGGCCAAGTCTGACTTTGCTTTGGAGGAAAAACAGTTTACCCGAGACTGTTCCAGGCATTCAGACAGCTCACCCTGGCAACTCTAGAATGACCAGACATTTAAAACTATTTCATCACAGATGAAAGAAAGGAAATACAAGATCACCTCAAGAGATGCACAAGGGCTATCTTATAAAGCTCCATACCCATATACTACCTTAAAAGTTTTCAAAAAAAAAATGTAACTGGGGCTGGGGATACAGTTCAGCTGGGAGAGTTCTTGCCTGGCATGCACAAGGCCCTGGGTTCAATCCCCCATACTCCCACCCACCCCCCCACACCAAATAACAACAACAAAAAACAGAAAATGTAACTAGGAAGGAACTTCTTTAAATGACATGTTGCTGTGTGATTTTAGCGGTTCATTAGAATGAGATCTCCTCTGACGGCCTCCCTGGCCTGCTTGCCAGTCCTGATGGACAGCGCTCCAGCTCTATGACCAGGGCGAAGCTGTGCTCCCCTCCCCAGGCAAGCAGGCCCCCCTCGCCTGCCCTTCCTTCTCATGGAGTCCTGGCCGCCTGGCTCTGCACATGTCAGGTTCACCCTCCTCAGCCTCGAGATGTGGCCAGAAGAGGGCAGTCGCAGTGCCTGGCCCCTCAGCAAGGCCACAGTGAAAGGGCATCCAAGGGGAATCCAGGAGTGCGGCTCAGGACACTCCTGAGTGAACTGAGGTGGCAGTGCAAACACACCTGTCCTCACCTGACCCTGTCCTCACTCCTGATTGCTGTGTGAGCTGCTGTTGCCACTAGTAAGGTGCCAGGACACAGAGTCATTGTACATCAGGGCCATTTAGGGAGGTGGGCTGAGCTCTCTCCTGCCCTCCCAGCTTCACTGCCACCTGCTGAGCCTGTACTTAGGCCTTAGGGTGATCTAGACCACAGGCGGGGTGGGGGGTGGAAATGCGGGGGGGATGGGACGGGGGTGTCCCAGGAGGAAATGACGCTCCTCCAGTAGCGCAAGACAGGAAAGGGAACTGCTCATGCTAAAGGCATTTCCTCCAGGTACTGACCATGGCGTACAGGACTTCTGTCTGCACAGTGTGAAACCAACAGAGGAAGGGTCACATTCCCCAGAAAGAAGCCCAGAAGGCACAGGCTGGGCTCTGTGGGAAACACTGGAAGCTCCTCTGTGAGCAAGCAGTGCTCGTCTCCGACAGAGGACAACTATTTCCAGCACGGATCTCAACAAGGCTGAAGTGTGAAGTTGGCATCCACGTTAACAGAAAATAACATTTTTAACATGAGCAAAAGGGTTTGCCTAACCATGACACAATTTTAAAAGGGCATCTTTAAAAACATGTAATTCTAATTGCATGAAACTGACTTCTGTAACTATCTTATCAAGTCCATAAAAATGAATCTCTTACCTGTTGTTTCCTGGTGGGATACTTGAGAATGTTGGCAGTAAAGAAGGGGTACTTCTCATAGCTATAGTCATACATCCATTCGCAGAAATGATTCCCAATGTCAAATCCCCTGAAAGAGGAGACAGCGCAGTGTGAGCACACCTGACGCCTCAGAGCCCTCACTGGGAAGGGCGGGCGCGTCCTGCCCGGGCTTTCTGAGGGCACAGGGTGTGGCAGCTCTGTGGACAAGCAGAGCGAAGCAATGGGCATCAGAGTCACAGCTGTGGAGGGCACAACGCTGCCACCCACCTGGCCTGCCCCACCGCCTCAGACGCCTCCTACAGCAGTGCTGAGAAAGCGAAGAGGCTCTGACAGGCCACAGGAAATGGCGAGTTCCATCCATAGAGCCCCTGGCCCAGCGGCCACTCTGGCCAAAGCCTTCTCTTCCAAGAGCGGTGCTTCCAGCTCAGGTGCTGTTGCCACTCATCTTGTCCTCACATCATTTCATAATGTATCACAATAAAAAGCAGTACTGAAAGCTAAGCCTTTGGTGCGACATTACCTGTAATTATAACTGCTGTATTCAAAGTCAATGAGCATCAGTTTCTGTTTTTCAGAATTCTCTCGGCCTTCCAGCAATAAGACATTACCTGCAAAAAAGTTTGAGTGGCAAGACTTAGAACAGAAAGCTGACGTTTTTAGAGCTGAGACTGACTCTTGCCTCTGTGGGGACCCTGACTGAGTTCAGTTTGGGTCCTGCGGCTGGAGCACAGGTGCACTCCTACCAGGGTTGGCCTCCTACACGGAAAGACTCCAGATGCACCTATCCAGATCCTGGCCACCTCCCTGGCACCAGGAGGCTCACTGTGGAACACAGCCTGGCCTCTCCCTCCTGTCAAGGCCGCACCTCCCAGACGTCTGGCACACTGGAGCTTGGTGACCTAAGCACCACCACTCACACCCACCCCAGCAGCCCTGGGACTGAGCTGCTGGCAGTGGCTGGCGAGGGCACAGCAGCTGAGGAGCTGACATGGTGTCCTGCCACAGCTACCACAGGCTGAGCCCGAGGACAGCACAAGCAGCAACCCTATAAGGACAGTTCCTTTAGCGTGGAATTTCGGGAACGAGGTCGGTCAGCCGCCAGCCTGACATGAACTCAGGCCCATGCTCCTGAGGTCCGCACTGTGAGCCCTCGAGCATCTCAGCACCTGGGCCAGTGGACCCTTTGCTACTGTCTGGCCCCTCTCTCCCAGAGTCCCTGGTGAGGGTCTCTAGGCTTGGCAATGTACTTCTCCTACATCCAGGAGCACTGCAAAGGAACTTTGGAGGACCGTGTCCCAAACGCCAGCACAGAAGAAACGTACAGCTCACATCCCCACCTGTTCCTCCCTGGCCATCCAGAGCCACAGTGGTGCTGTGCGCTGCCCTGTCAACAATGGTCACCACTGAAGGCCATGGCTGGCCCCCAGGGCTGCACTGAACTGCCTGTGCCCTGCTTCCCTCGACTGAGCCCACAATTGGTCAAAGGTGACTGGGCTCAAACTAGTGGCTCACTGCAGCTGGAACCTGACCAGGAGCTACTGTGGAACTGAAAACCAACTGCTAAGGCAAGAGGACCTCTTGACCCCAGGAATTCGAGGCCAGCTTGGGCAACACAGTGAGATCCCATCTCCCAAACAAAACAGACTACTGAGCCTGGCAAAGAAGGTCTTGAAGCAGGACCACAGCCACCTGTGACCTCCAAGGACCAGGACAGCAAGGCAAGCTAGGAAATGCCAGCAGCATCAGTGGGAACTGCACCATCAGGAAGCTGAGGCAGGATGACTGCAAGTTTGAGCCCAGCCTGGGCAACTCAGTGAGAGCCTGCCTCAAAAGAAAAAGAGAAAAGGACTGAGGACGTGACCCAGTGGAAGAGCACACGTGGCTTCAAAACCAAGGAGGGGAGGGAGGAAGGACCAAATTGGAAATCACGCTGGGTAAAACTCCGAGACAGTAAGGGGCCCTATGGCGTTGTAATTTCCTGAAGCAGAGCAACCAACAGTCATTAACTGTGCCAGCTGGGACAACCAAGAAGGTGGTCTGAGGCGCTGCCCCGTGCTGCTCGGTGGGCCAGGAGGGGCCTGCATGGCTGCTCCTGGTCTGCCAGCTGCTGCAGGACGAGGAAGCCCCGGGCAACATGCACCTCAGAACATTTAAGTCTTTAGTCCAAGTTCCACATTTAGTGAAAAATCTTTCAGATTTTTTTTCCAAGTCAACATTTTAATAGAAGTGGAATGATACTCTATGTTTTTCTAAAACTTGCTTTTTTTCCTCTTAATATAGCCTAGAGATTTTTCTGTTGATAAATAAAAAGAATAAGGAGAGCTTTACATCTATTTTTATTTTTTGGGTTTTGGAAATTGAACCTAGAGACCACCGTGCCACATCCCCAGACCTTTGTATTTTTTCATTTTAAGACAGTGCCTAATTGCTTAGGGCCTTGCTAAATTGCTGGGGCTGGCTTTGAACTTTACAATCCTCCTGCCTCAGCCTCCCGAGCAACTGGGATTACAGGCATGTGCCATCAGCCTAGCCCAAATTCTTTTTAATAGTTACCCAATACGTACTGTCACTGCAGCATAATCTGATGTATCAAATAGTCCTGTGATGGCCATTTGGTGTTTATCACACATAGAGCATACACACAAATCCCATCTGTAGCATTACATGATGACTCTTACCTTCCTGACAGTCATTGTGACAAAATACAACTGGAGACGGAGTAGATTCAAGCAGTGACCTGGAAAATCAAGGTGTCACTATCACCTGTCGAGGATTAATGTAGGCTGCCCACAGCCCCGCTGCCCACACCAGCTCTTCAGTGCTCCCACACGCACAAGGCCTCTCTGCACCCGCTCCCTCCTGTCCCAGGCAAGGCAGCCCCTGGGTGTTGGTCTGCTCTGATCTATTCCTTCCCAGCATTTATGCAACTTGACACTATGTCATTGTTTACTTGGACTAATAAAAATGACATCTTGGTCACCACTTCCTCACATGACGTACTGCCCAGCACAGCAGGGGGACTGTACATCCTGGACAGATATGTATGTAGGTACGCAAGCCTGCCCAGCCCCACCCTGAGAACAGTACAGGGCCTCCTCTCAGAGATCAGTCTCAGGATTCGCACAGCTCCCCAAAGCTCAGGTTTGGCATTTCTCTCATCAGCTTGCACGCCCCCACCTGCTTCTGCTCCGAAAAAATCTACTGCCCCAGACTTTGCTGCCCCAAGCACCAAACTACCTGTCTGAAAGTCGGCCTCCCCCCGTGAAGCCTTCCTGGAACACAAGAGAGTATCTCGGGCAGCAAGACCCACCTGTCAGACCCGCCTGTCAAATCCACCCTGCAAAACCAGCAACAGATGCCAGGCACAGGATGCGCTTCACCAGCGCCAACTGACAACAGTTCTAGTGACCAAGAGTAGCTACATTTCTGGATAGACGTGCTCACTTGTCAGGAAAGAAGTCAATTCTCACCTGAGGTTTTTCAGTTCCAAAGGCAGATTGTAATTGAGGAACTTGTGAAGCTGTTTGATTCTGGATTCCCCAGTAAATTTAATCCTCAGCACTTGATTTAGATATCTGTTAAAGAAAGGTGAAGCTTCACTGCTTGATTCTCAGACTTCACTTAGACCGTCCCAGTCCAGAAAGAAGAGGGAAGGGTGGCGACTAGGGATCCAAGGTTTTCTGGGACGCTAGCTCTGCCCCCGCCCCGGGGAACAGCATTTCTGCCAAGTCATCTTTCTTGGTCCAGGAATTAATTGCTCCATGTAAAAAAAACTTACCCCAGAGACAAACACTACCCCTGAGGGCCGGCGCACCAGTGAGCCAGCAGAGAAAGGCCTCAGCCTGCCCTGGTACAGAACTAATCGAGGCCTGATCGATCGGACCACTTACTTTTCCATTGTTCCAAAAAGCCATTTTGGTTCCTTATTGAATGGCATTTTCATACCATGAAATGTGGCCATTTTTTCAGCTATTTCTGCAGAAATATCTGGCAAACTTAATTCTTCAGTGTCTAATCGCCGGCTCTGAAAGAAAAAGGGAGTTAAAAACTGATATTTACCAGGTCATCTAACAAGCGTGAGATCACACAATCATAGGAATTAGAAGTCAGTTTTTGCACAGCATTTCAGTCTCACCCAATTAACAAAATTTCCTGCAGAATGGACACTCTGCCCTCACAGATGGTGACCCAGCAACTGCCATGGCAATTCCACAGAGAGGGCAAGCCACCTCTCAGAGTCTATCCTTACGGATGCTATATATATATATATATATATATATATATATAGAGAGAGAGAGAGAGAGAGAGAGAGAGAAGAGAAGAGAGAGTGTGAGTGTGTGTGTGTGTGTCTGTGTGTGAGAGAGAGTGTGTGTGTGTGTTATATACAATACCTTTCATTATTTATTTATTTTTATGTGATGCTGAGGATTGAACCCAGGGCCTCGCACGATATAGACGAGCAGTCTGCAGCTGAGCCCCAACCCCATCCTTATGAATGCTTTTTAACTTTAAGAAAGTCCTTCCTTAAATTTCAATGAACTAAAAGCCCCTTTCCTATGGTGATGTGATTCTGCCCTCTCACACCCGCAGCACCAGAATCCCTGTTCTCAGCAGCGTGCCTCAGCTGGGGTTCTGCTCTGCCCTGCACCGGTGGGATGGTGTGCTGGTCAGAACCAGTGCTGACCAGGGGGTACCATGAGTTCAGCAGGAGCCAGGGCCAGTGGCTCTCACTGTGTCCATTACATCTGGCCTGGCAGAGAGCAGGCTCTGCAGGCCACACTTGTTCTGGGAGCTCTTTCAAAGTGTTCTCAGGGGGCCTAAAGTCCAGGGGACTCTGCAGGTCTTGCACATAAGCTACTCCCTACAGACCCCCAAGGGACGTGTCTCTAAAGGCACAACACAGAGGGCACAGGGCCAGGGACGTGCTCCCCACTTAGACAGTGCATCTAACCCAGGTGCTGTGTGCTGAGAGCCCTGAAGGCACCAGGCTGTCTCCCACTCGACTCAGGAATGTCGTGTTCCACGACATTCTCAACAGCCATGCCACGATCCGGACAGGAAGCTCAGCCTCGAGTGGAGGATGCTCGGCCTTCTTAAGGCACCTCCCGTGGCTTTTTTAAGGGCCAGCATCATATGCCCATTGATGAAGGAACACATTCCCAGAAATGTGGTGCATTGCCTGTGGCACACCTGGGCTGTGGCACACCTGGTCTGTGGTTCAGCCTGCTGCTCAGGGGCTGCAAGGACCAAAACCAGATTAGATCAAGCACAAGAGGCAGGCAGGCGGGGGCAGGCTGCTGCCAGCCTACAGCACACTCTACAGTGTCTTCTCAGTAGAAGGTGGAAGCTCTAAAACAACAATAAATAGTATAGTAAATACATAACCAGTAACAGCCTAAGTTGTTATTATGAAGTTATTATGTGCTGCACATAACTGTATATGCATGTATAAAAGTATATTCAATGTGACTGCTAGCACAGTGTTCACTTCAGCATCACCACAAATGTGTAGAGTGTAGAGTGCTCAACTCTGACACAATGTCACACAGCAAAAAAAAAAATCCTTCCATGCCATCATAATCTCCTGGGACCACTGTCATACATGTAGTCCACTGTTGACTAAAGTGCTATGCAGCACGTGGCTGTAATTTGTTTTGTACTGTGGAAAATTTAAAGTTAACCTGCTCAGGCTGGGGCTGCAGCTCAGTATAGAGCGCCTGCCTAGCACATGTGAGGCCCTGGGCTCCATCCTCAGCACTACATAAAAATAAACAAATAAAATAAAGGCATTCTGTCCATCTACAACTACAAAAATATTTTTTAAATGTTTAAAAATTAATCTCCTCAAAGATGGACAAATCTGGACTGGGGATGTGGCTCAAGCGGTAGCGTGCTTGCCTGGCATGCGTGCGGCACAGGTTCGATCCTCAGCACCACATACAAACAAAGATGTTGTGTCTGTAGAAAACTATAAAATAAATATTAAAGATTCTCTCTCTCTTTAAAAAAAAAAAAAAGATGGACAAATATCAGTATCTGTTCCTTCCTCAAAAGTCAGAAAGGGAAATGGAGACTATTATTCTTAGGAGTCATTAATCTCACATGACCCTTTGAAAGACAGCTACAGGAATCAAAAAGGACAGAATCCTCAAATCTAATGCGGTGGGCAGGCAAGGTGGCACATGCCTGTAATCCCAGCTGCTCAGAAGGCAGAGGCAGGAGGATCACAAGTTCAAAGCCAGCCTCAGCAACTATGAGGCACTAAGCAATTCAGTGAGACCCTGTCTCTAAATAAAATACAAAATAGGGCTGGGGATGTGGCTCAGTGGTCGAGTGCCCCTGAGTTCAATCCCCTAACCAAAAAAAAAAAAAAAAAAAAAATCCAATGAAGTGGCCAAGAGTAAAACTAAAAATGATGGGTTTTTTTGTTTTTGTTTTTTTTTTAAGAGAGAATTTTAATATTTATTTATTTTTTTAGTATTTGGCGGTCACAACATCTTTGTCTGTGTGTGGTGCTGAGGATCGAACCCGGGCTGCACGCATGCCAGGCGAGCGTGCTACCGCTTGAGCCACATCCCCAGCCCCTAAAAATGATGTATGATATTAGTCTGAATCAAACAAAACTGACATATCTGTGGGTCAAAAACAGTCTACTACAGTTTTATGTGGTTCAACCTAGTATTTTAACAGAAATTTTTAAAATCTCAACAGGCATGGCGACACACACCAGTAATCTCAGCAACTGGGAGGCTGAGGCAGGAGGATCGCAAGTTTGGTGACAGCCTGAGCAACTTAGCAAGGCCCTCAGCAATTTAGTGAGACCCTGTCTCTAAAAAAAAAAAAAAAAAAAAAAAAGACTAAGGATGTAGCTCAGAGGTAAAGCAACTTGGGTTCAATCTCCAGTACATTTAAAAAAAGACAAACCCACTATGGTAAGTAAGATACAGTGGCGCAGACCTATAATCCCAGCTATTTAGGAAGCTGAGGCAGGACAATCACAATTGTGAAACCAGCCTGGGCAATTTAATCAGAACTTGTTTCAAAATTAAAACAAATCAAAACAAAAAAACTGAACCAAGCAAACAATATGTAAACTTAGAAGAAGAATAAGATAAAGCTGTCAGGCTGAGCAGGGTGGCCACACCTGTACTCCCAGCTACTCTGGAGACTGAGGCACGAGAAACACAAATTTGAGACCAGTCTCAATTCAGTAAGACCCTGTCTCAAAATAAAAAAATAAAAAGGAATTCTGGGGAGTAGCTCAGTTATAATCCCTGGCACCACAAAAAACAAACAAAAAAACTCCACCATGTAGTAGGTGATATGTACAAAGTGTGCAAAATTTTCTAGGATCTTGCGATCAGTTCCACAGATGCCACAACCTGTGTCCTGTTGCTGTGAGACCCCATCTCTAACATATATAAATTACTCCGTGGTTAAGTGCCCCTGGGTTCAATCCTGATACCAAATTTAAAAGTTAATTAATTAAATAAAGGTACTGTTGTCCATTTACAACTTAAAAACAATAACCAAAAAAGCTTTAAGACAACAAGAAATGGAAAATAATCCTGACTATTTGGAAGTAGAGGATTTAAGTAAGGCCTCTAAACCTCTCGGCACCTGGGAGCAGAAGGACAGGGCAGGAGAGACCCTAACAGGGAAAAGCCAAAGTGAAGGGAAGATATTGGAGACAAGGGAAAGAAGACGTGACAGGTGTGCTGGGAGCCCAGATGCTCCACCAGCAATTTCTAAAAGAAGGCCCCAGGCCAGGTGCAATGGCACACAACTGTGATTCCAACAGCTCAGGAGGCTGAGGCAGGAGGATCACAAGTTCAAAGCCAGCCTCAGCAACTTAACAAGACCCTGTCTCAAAATAAATAAAAAAAGAGATTGGGGATGTGGTTCAGTGGTTAAGCACCCTGGGTTTACTCCTGGTGCCAAAGAAGGCCTCAGAAGGTGAGAAGGATTAAGGGAAAGGGGAAAGCTTACCGGATGATGCAAAGGTGACTCTCACATATATTTTTAATTTGAATGACCATGTCTTTGTAGGAAAGAAACAGGTTCTGATATACCAAAAACAAAACAAACAAACAAACAAAAATCTGTGTGTCTATATATATTTTCTAATTCAGTTTAATAACAGGTCACAAAATCACTTACTTCAAGCCACAGCATCAGGTTCTCTCCATGCTGAGACATGGAGTCCACCTCTGTTTGCGGCTCACATCAACTGACCATTCACACACACACATCTTACCGGAATGAACTGCTCCAATCGGCCTTGGGGAAAGATGCCATAGAGCTTTGGCCCAAGTGACCTCTCTGCGAGAATGGCAAACATAACGCTCTCCAGAACCATAGCCTCGGCCCCCTAGAACAGAGGGCAACAAACCAGGTGTTTACTGAGTGCCTGCTCTATGCCAGGCATCTCACGAGCAGCACCCTCCTCTCCTCCCACTATGATGAAACACGGACTGGCACCATCATCACCCCAGGATAAATATGAAGGAACAGGTCCTGGCATTTGTAGGACCCATGCTTGCAAGCATTATACTACATGAGATTCAAAATTCAAGTTTGATTTAGGTCACTGGTCCAAAAATAGAAAACATCTATTGAGATTTCATGGCTTCTATTTAATTCACAACTGATATGAGTCTCGCCCTTGGCCTCTGAGCAAAGTACACACCACTGTGCACTCTGATGAGGGCTGAATTGTTTTGTGCCAGACAGTCCCAGGGAAGCAAATGATCCAAAGGCCTTCTGCCTTCTAAACTGCTCTGTAGACCAAATAAGTTTGAGAATTCCTGATTTAGGTCTGGGGTGTGCGGTTTTTTGGTGCAAAGCACAGACTGGCACGCAGCCTCCTGGGTTTCTAGCCTCAGCCCTCTTCCCGACCTGCTCCTCCTGTGATGCTGGTCTTCTTGCTAAATGCTCTAGGAAGCCTGCATGCAGTCCTGTGAGTCACGTGGGATCTAGAATCATTCTGCCTTCAAAATTCTTCCTTTTGTCTCATTTCAAACTCATTCTTTAGTCTTTTTCCCTTCAAAAGTAAAATGCAGCTTGAGAGTTTCCATCTTGAGTGTGGAGAATGGGGAAGAGTCCCTCCACCCCGGAGTCCCAAGTCTCCTAAGGAGCTTGCACAAATAGAGATTCCTAGGGTCCTGACTGAGTTTCTAAGCTGACCTGATTAAGGAAAGGAACCAGCAAGTATATGCAGATGATTCTGGTTCATCTCTTCCTGAGTGTGCTGTGGGGGAACATGAGCCCAGAGAACACTGTTTAAAGCACTCACATTACAAAAACAAGCTGAGAAACTAAGAAGACAAGTTCCTTAGGCAGTGACAGAATGCTACAGTGAGAAGCTAACAAAAAAGAAAGGCTACTTCCAAAGGACATTAGACCACAAAGAGTCATTCAGTCACTTCTACCTTGTGTGGGCAAAGTGGAATTCTTGGTAAGTAATCCCCGCCAATTATGGTATAACCATCACCTTGTGAGGCTCAATCTTCATTATTCATTAATTTACAGTTGTTTGTACTGAACAACACTGATAGAGCACTGATTTGATCAAATTAATAGATTTTAGAGCAGGATTTGATCAAACAGGTTTTATTGCTTAAACCCTTAAAGACAGACAATACCAATCTCTCTAGTTGGCAAAATACCTAATCCCCATCATTCACGGATCCTCACAGCACACTTGACCAGAAGGCACAGTCACTCTGGGCCCTGTCTGACCTCAAGTCCAGCACTGGAGAAACTCTCCAAGGAAGCTCACCCCAGGGCTTGCAAAGTGGCCTCTGCTTCCATATCTGCTCAACTGCTGCTGTGGGCAGTGCACCCTGATGTCCTGGGGACTGCGGGCACCTCCCACACTGTATAAAATGCAAAAGCAAACAGAACCTGGGCACTGTAGGACAAGAGGATCTGGCCTTGGCTCCCAGAGCAGGCGATCTGCCATTGGTGAGTCTTCGTAACCCTTTGCCATCTGTAGACTCTCCCACGAAATTCTAACTCTCCAATCACTTCCGAGAGTAGAATTAGGACTTCTTTTGTCTAGGTATCCAGAATTTTGTCAGAATTTAATATGTTTTCCACTCCCCCACCTTTGTTTTTGAACCAGGGATTGAACCCAAGGACACTTAACCACAGAGCCGCATCCCCATCCCTTTTCTCATTTTTTTATTTTGAGACAGGGTCTCACTAACTTGCTTAGAGCCTTGCTAAGTGAACCTGTGACCCTCCAGCCTCAGCCTCCCAAGCCACTGGGGTTACAGGCACATGCCACCAGCCCAGCCCAACTTTTTGTCAAAATGATAAAGTAGGGCTGTTGTGGCTCAGTGGTAGAGCGCTCGCCTAGCACATGCAAGGCCCTAGGTTCGATCCTCAGCACCACATAAAAATAAATAAATAAAGATATTGTGTCCAACTAAAAAATAAATATTTTTAAAAAAATGATAAAGTAATCATGATGAAGGATATTATGGTGGGAATTATACATCTAACACATATATATCCAACCTGAAATATCCCTGAAAGTTTGAAATGGAGCCACAGGTAGATTGACACCTCAGTAGGCTCAGCATGCTGCACATCATGGTTGACATTACTTACACAGGGCAGCACTGTCGTGGGACCTGGATTGACACGCTGCCCAGACTCTGCTTCAGTACTGGCTGAATCAATGCATGCCCAGAAATTGTACTGAGAAGATGAGCAAAGACTTAAAGAACCTCCCAGTTCTCTTCCTGCTGTTCTGAAAGTGTAAACAAAGCTTGGTTCTCATGGAATCCCACAATTTGGTATTTGTGCCCATCAGGAGGGGTGGGGACAGTGTGTAGAGGGCAGGATCTATGGACAGAAACAATGCACAGAAAGACCGGACATGGGAGCTGGGGTTGTGGTTCAGCAGTAGAGCGCTCGCCTAGCACGTACGAGGTACTGGGTTCGATCCTCAGCATCACATAAAAAAATAAAAATAAAGGTATTGTGTCCAACTACAACTAAAAAATTTTTAAAAAAAAAGACCAGACATGAGCAAGAAGGGCAGTGGCTGGGAGGGTGCCTGTGGTCCCTCTGAGTCACTGGTCTCCAGGCCCTTCCTGCGGGCTACTGAGAGCGAGTGAGTGGGCCAACAGGCACGACTAAGTCCACACCTTCATGTCACACCCTGGGCTAGCCATGATCCCAGTGGCTCAGGAGACAGGCAGGAGAATCATGTGTTCAAAGCCAGCCTCACCACACTAGCAAGATCTCATCTCTAAATAAAATGTAAAAATGGGCTGGGGATGTGGCTCAAGCAGTAGTGCGCTCACCTGGCATGCGCGGGGCACTGGGTTCAATCCTCAACACCACATAAAAATAAAAAAGAAAGATATTGTGTCCACCTAAAACTAAAAAATAAAATAGAATGTAAAAAAGGACTGGGATGTGGCTCAGTGGTTACGCACCCCTGGGTTCAACCCCCAGTACCCTCCCCACAAAAAAGATTCATTCACACATTTACCCCAGGCACATTGATGAATGTGTACCTGGCACTGTGCCGAGTAACCAGGAGCACAAAGAGCAATACCATCAGGTCTGTGCCTGCAGATCTTACGTTCTAGAGAGGGCAGATGAATGAGTGAACATGACCACAGACAGGCTTACTGAGAGGGACAGAAGGGTGTTGGGACAGGACAGCTAGGTCTACGGAGGCCCAAAGGGTGAGGGGGAACCATGAGCAGCTCTCAGGCAGGGGAGTCTGGTGTACTCAAGGAAGGGGAAGGGGAAGGGGAGAGTGTAGGGGGGACGGGAATCAGGGGATAGAAGCGGACAGGAGCACCTTGCAGAGGGCTGGGCTTGGGAAAAACCTGGGTTGAAGAACTGAGTGCCAAGTCCTAGTTGGGCATGCCTGTAATCCCAGTTACTTGGGAGTCAGCTCAAGACCATTTGGGGCAACTTGGTGAGAACCTGTCTCAAAAAATAAGAAAGGGCCAGGCGCGGTGGCACACACCTGTAATCCCAGTGGCTCAGGAGGCTGAGGCAGGAAGATCGCAAGTTCAAAGCCAGTCTCTGCAACTTAGCGAGAGCCTGTCTCGAAATAAAAAATTTTTTTAAAAAAGGGGCTAGGAATGTGGCTCAGTAGTTGAGTGCCCCTGGGTTCAATCCCTGGTACCAAAAATAAAGCAAAAACAAAAAACAAAACTCACTGTACTAGACAAGCTCACCCAGGCACAAAAGAGGAGGAACCAGTGCTAGGACTGAGAACTCCCAACATTTAGGGCAATGGCTTCCAAACTGACTGTCCCCGCAGTGCAAAAGGCCTCCACACATCGACCTCCACACACACCAGATGTTACACACAGCAACACGCCCTCACATCAGGGCAAGCTTCCTAGTATTCTCTACTCTATTTCATTTCAAAAAGCCAAGAAGCCAGGCACGGTGCTTAGGCACTTAGAGCCCCAGCTTCGTGGTAGGCTGAGGCAGGAGGATCACTTGAGCCCAAGAGACTTAAAGGCCAGCCTGGGCAACACAGCAAGGCTGACAACTCAAAAAAAATAAATGCATACATTTTATACCCCATTAGAGGGTCACATGACCCGCCACTCCATCCACTGATTTAAATTTGGATAGCAGGAAGAGGAATGGGGCAGGGGGTGCTGGCAAAGGAGGTGAGACACCTGCCATCATGGAGGAGGGGGTGGAGCTCTGTGTCAAATGGTACTAAGGGTCAAACAGGAAGAGAGGAAAGAGGACACTGGATCTGGCAACGTGGAAGTTGAGTGATGATGTCAGAAGGGGTGACTAGGAGTGAGGAGGGAGTTGAAGGGGACAGAAGCAAGGGGTTTAAATGGACTCTCACTTCATCTACACTGGGTCATTTATTCAAAACACTTGACACCCAGAAATAAGAATGATGGCAGGTGAGCCTCTGGAGAAGACATCACCAAAGTTCTGTATAACCTCATTCCAAGCACGAGGAAGCAGGGGGTCAAGACTGAGGGGACATTCTCCAGTAACTGACAGGCATTCTTCACAAGTATCAAGACTGTAAATAAGTAAGAAGAACTGGTATAGGCTGAAAAAGAGCAAGCAGAAACCACCGAATGCAACGTTGGGATTCTGACTAAACCCTGGGATAGAACAAAAGAAACATCAGGGAAAAATCTTCTGAAATTCCAATAAGGTCTGCGTTTAGTACTACCGCAGCAGACTCAAGGACCTGGTTTCGATCACCGTACTTTGGCTGTGTAAAATGAGAACCTCGGGGAAACCAGGGAAGGGGTGCCTGGGAAAACTCTGTACTATGTTTATTATTTATTCCAAATCTCTTTTCTGAAAAAGGAGATTGGGAAGTAAGAAAGCAGAGACAACAGATTCTGTCTCAAGAAAACTTGCTGGGGGCTGCATTCCCAGGGCTCTGGCTTCTACTCTTCAAGACTAAAACAGCAACATAAACCCCACCCAATAAAAATAAATAAAAATCAAAATATATTTTTTTAAAAAGGAAAGAGAAATCTTGTCAGGAACAAGAGCATAAATGGTGGGAGCAGGCAGGGCACTACCACCGATAGCCCTGTTACCAGGAAGTGAAGGGGACAGTGAATGGGGAAGTCAGGTCCAAATAAGAAAGGGGCACAAACATCCTTCAGTAGCAACAGTCAGTGAAAAGTGCCAATGCAGAGGGCTTGTGGTGGACAGATGAGGGACAAGAGATTGGCAGTCATCAAAGAACCAGGTTCTACTTTCTGAAACGGGGAGGTCCAAAGGAGACCCAGCTCTGGAACAGACCTCCCAAATACAGAAGCAGAGCCTAACCTCCTGGAGACCCTGAGCAGGTCCCAGGCAGTGGTGCACCCCTGAGGATGGGCACCACAGCCCTGGAACCAGACCACCCTTCCGACTGTGTGGCTCTTCTCTAGCAGCCCTGGCTGCCTGGACACTGCACAGAGAAGGAGTGGCAGTAGCTGGGCTCAGCAGGGTCGGGGTTTAGAGGAGCACGTGACAGGAAGCATGAGGAGAAAGTTGAGAACACGTGGAAGGCAAGACGTGTGGCAGCAGAGCTAGGTGCTCAGCTAGGCAGAACACATGAGGAGACTGGAGGGCTGGTGGGGAGTGAGAGGGTAGTTGCTACCCACCCTCTGGAATGGAGGTTTGTTTGATGGCAGCCAGATAGCTGCAGAGGTACCCGGGCGGGCTACTGAAGCTGGCCTGCCATAAGGGACACAGTTTCCCAGGGGAGCAAATAACAGGAGGAACAGAAGGAAAGACTGTTAGAGATGAGGAGGTCAGAATGCAGAGGCCAGAGAACCAGAATGGATTCAAACTGAGCTGTGGACTTGGGTCTCCAACACACAAGTAATGGGCAAGCCCAGAGACAAGAGCTACCATTGGGGAGGACTGACAGCACAAAGCATGAGCCTCAAAGGGACAGGGGTTCCTGATGGAGGAGAAATGGTTAGACGCAGGGAAGAGGACGAACAGGAAGACACCAGCTCCACCTGTGGCACAGAAGCACTTGAGAGGTGATAGATGGCCCTAGGGCCATGAGCAAAGATCCTGTGGGACAGTGAGGCTCTGAATGAATGTTCAGAAAAGGGGTTCTGCAAGCCAGGATGGGTGACTCAAAGGGGCTCCATAAGGAAACAAAACCAACTGCTCCACTCTTACTGCCAACCACCTACCTTCTCCTCAAAGGATCATATGCAAAATCACACTCCCTGAGGTTTTCCAATAGGCCTTGAGGAGGAAGAGGAGGCCCTGGATTGACAGTCCAGGAGACAATAAAGTGCATGCATACCAGGAGGAGGGGTGGATGTGCCTGAGAGGTTCCCTGCAACCAGCGCCCTATTACAAGCAGCAAAGAGACAGTGAGAAGCAGCAAGACCCCCCACCTCCAGAAGTTTAGAATCTCAAGGCAGATGGAAGATCATGTCATGCTGACCCCCTTCTTGTGCACACAATTGCCCCCTTCATGATAAGTATACATATATGGAAGACAGCATTTAAAAGGCACTTTTATGGGACGGGGATGTAGCTCAGTGGTAGAGCATAAGACCCTGGGTTCAATCTCCAGCACCACCAAAAATAATTAAAAAAAAAAAAAAAAAAAAAGAACACCACAAAAAAAAACACTTCACTCCAGGTATGGAGATCCTCACCCCAGACTCTATACTTCTAAGCCTCCACACTCCATGTGGTGACAACCTCAAACCCGCTGCTTGCATGTGTTTCAGTAGACGCGGGGTCAGCTTAGCTCACAGTCTCTTGAGTCTAGGGACCTTTTCCTCCTGGAACAATGTCTGCTATTTCCCCAGAAAATGGAGTGACCACTAAAATGACTGGGCACTGACCAGCTTCCCTAATGGGAAGCATGGGAACTAAGAAAAGGGGTGAGACACACTGCAGCAGTGGAAGCCAGCTGCCCCCACATCAGAGCATTACACACAAATGTCACCCCAATCCTCTACCTCTCTGCACCCCGGACACTCGTGTAGAAAATGCTGCCATAAAGACATCAAACTTCCACCATCTGCACCCTCAAGAGGGGCCAGGAACCCCCACTGCTTGCTCAGTCTCAGTGAGGGGGCTCCCAATACACCAAGAGCTCTCCCCCTAAGGAGGACAGGTGAGGGTGTTTCCAAGGGCAGTGAAGAGGCCCTGCAGAACTGCAGCACAGCGAGGTTGGCTGACACTGGTTCACCTCTCATGCAGGTGCAGAACAGACTGAATTACTTACTTGAAATTCATTTTCTTTCTGAGCTTGTTCGGATCCCTCTTTATTACAGGACCTCTATGAATGAGAAAAAGCAAACACTTCCGGTGAGATGGAGAACACTGAGCAGACACTAACTCTGCAACCACCAGAACAGTAGGGCTTATGAACACCACAGATCTTTAACAAGGGCTTCTCAGCCCGCCGTGGGACTGGCGTAGTCTATAGGCACCAGCAGCCTCCAGCACTAGTACCAATGCCTTGGAAAGTGCTTTATCTATTTACAAGAAAAGGGATGTGCCACTGAGACCAAAGAACTGTGCATCTCATGGCCGTCCCTCGGACCTTTCACAATTTCATTGTTAGAGGAAAGTCACTAGATAGTATTCTTCCAATTGAGCCTTCTAAAGAAAAGTGCAGGCCAAGGCTCTCGCTAATTTAGTTATGGGGTTCTTTCAAGCCAACCGCAAGGACTGGGGTATCAATCCACCCACGGATGGCTGTGGTTAGCACAGAGCATGGACAAGAGAAGAAAGCACTGTGCAGGCAGGACACCTGGCACTCCCCCAGACTAACCCTGCTGGTGCAGCTGGTCACAGCTCCAGCAAAAAGAGGACAGGGTGAAGTTAACAAAGTCCCTAAAGTTTCTTATATACTAATATATTAAGGTTACTTTTACATTACTTTCCTCAATGAAATTGCAAATTATTGGCAATATTAACAACATACTAGATCACCAACTTCCATAAGCAGCTCTGAGGCTACATTCTTTCTTCACGGCACAAAGCATGTGTCTTCAAAGCAAGCCCCCCACCCCAAGTGCTTTAAACCCTCATAGAACCTTAAATGAGGGACTGGGGGAAAGTAAAGTAAGAAACTTAAGGGTAATGTCAAAATTTCATACTCTATTGCCTCTAAAATTATGTTATATTTAAAGTCTGCGTGTAAGCCAGACCCAAGAGGAGTCCTATAAAGGAAACCTCTTTAAAAGAAGAGGTTGGTAACTTAAGGTAACAGATCTTGAACATCCCATGAAAACATACCTTTCCATTCCACAGCTTTATCAAAAACACCTGTACCAAGGGTGGAAAGTGTGGACAGGAAAAAAATGCCACGTTAAGCAACACCAGCTACTCTAGCAGCATTCAAAATCCTTGTGACTTACAGCAACCACTCTCTCCCATCATACACGGAATAGCATTCCACAGACATCTTAATGCTTCTTATGTATAAACAATACATGTTTTTCTTACTCAGTATAAAAGTAAACAAACATCCATGTTCATAAAGCTATCTGCTAAAGGCTTTCTAATGCTTGCACTTATACATATTCACTAACATCTGGAACATACGCTTAAAGTACATTTGGTACAAAGTACAGAAAGTACAATGAAGATATATGTTTTCATTTGTGTAATCTGCATTTCTCTGATGAAAGGATGCTACAGGTTAAATCCCGTTACAGTGAACACCGTAAAAATCAAAATATTACAAAAATGCCATTATCCATCTGCTGAGAGGGGTCAATGGATGACGAGATAAACTGAGGAGGAGCTACTGGCTATCATGAAGTTCTACTCCCTCCTTTAACTGCAGGGTGCTCCCTCGGCTGCACTGTTCCCTTAGACTTACACCTCCGTGATCTCTCCTGGGTGGCCTGTAAGTTCCTGAACAGGGACTTCACCTTTGATTGTCTGTCTACCCTGAAAGTACCAAGCAAATTCTGATGCTTGCTATGCTCTGGTCTAAGTGAATCAAGGAATACTCTGGCACTGGCACCGTGAAACACAAAGCAAACAGCTCCAAGGAGCAACCCAGCACCATGCAAGTTCACATCCACATTCCCAGTAGTGGGGAAACTAGACACAGTGTTAATTAGAACACTGAATGGGGCTGAAATGCCCTTAAAAAGTCCTCATGCTTTTTTCTCCAAGGAAAGCTAAGAACAGAGTCGTCTGGATTGGGGTTTAAATCCAGAGCCTCGCACATGCTAGGCCAGTGCCCTCCCCCTGAGCGATACCTTTGTGTGTGTTCTGCAAGGGATCAAACCCAGCCTTGCTCATACCCTAAGCCTAAATTCTATAATCAGACATATTACATACTAACGCTTTGTATGAAGCGCTTTTAAGACAAATAAGGAATTTGGATATATTACTAAATTTTGTTGTAACATTTGGATATATTACTAAATTTTGTTGTAACGGGATTTGACCTGCACAAAATTCTAAACAACTATGGTTATTCCTATGCTGTTATTGCTCTAACTGTATCTTCTTAGGGAGATACAGTTAATGGATTATTTAGCTAACAGAAGTCCTTTTCCCTGTTAAATGGTGCTCTCAAAAGCAAATCGCCTCATCCCAGGTTACAAACTGGCTAACAATCCGTTACAAAGTTCCAAGACCACTCCTTTTTAACATGTTATCACCAGAAGTGGAGGTAAATTTCATTCATTTTCTTCCCACCCCCAGAAGTCCCATCCCACCCCAATGGCTGCATGACTTATTCAGTAATAAGAGCACCATCGCAAAGGCAAGATGGACTTCTGCAGTATCAACCCCATGTTCTGTTTCCTCAGTACAGAATGCACAGGTGCCCTTCAGCTATAACCAAGAAGAGCAGGCCCAAGAAACCTCAAGCCAGGGAAACAACTGTGGAGAGGTGAGCGGAGGCCTGCTCCTAGATGAGCCAGGCACAGACCCACTCACTTGGCCAAAAGAGAGGTCAGAGGATCCTGTCCAGGAAGATGGGAAGAAAAATATATTTGGGGACTTGTGGAATTTTACGTCAGTGGTAAAAATTTATTTGAAGTAGATATTAAGATATAGTGTGTGAATATTTAGTATGACTTTAAACTCTCCTAACTTGCAAATTAATAAAAATTTTATTTTATAAATTAGAATACTAAAATGTTTTACACTTATTAGAATTTAGACATTGTTTTTTTAACATTAAATAATGCTGTGTGTGTGTGTGTGTTCTGCAAGGGATCAAACCCAGCCTTGCTCATGCTAAACTCAAGCTCTAACCACTGAGCAAACACCCCATTCCTAATTTTTTTTTTTTGTGAACATTATATAAGTCATTTTTAAAAAATGATCTTATATAGATATAGACTGAAATATTTACAGAAGAAACGATTTAATGCTGGCACCTGCTTCAAAATATCCCTGGGGAAATAGATGAAAAGATGCAAGAAGGCTGTCCTCCAAGAGAAATGGATAATGGGCACCTGGGGCTTATCACTCTTCTGCCTCCTTCTGTTCTGATCTGAAATTACTCAGAATAAAGCACTTTTTTGAAAATAAACAGAAATTTCAAGACCTAAGAAATTAAAACATCTTGGGCTGGGGTTGTGGCTCAGCGGTAGAGCACTTGCCTAGCATGTGCACGCCCTGGGTTCTATCCTCAGCACCACATAAATAAAGGTATTGTGTCCAACTACAACCAAAAAATAAATATTAAAAAAAAAAGAAATTAAAACATCTTGAAAATATGTTAAAAAATACCCAATTTTATCAATATACTGAGAACTTCTGAATTATAAACCTGAAATAGGTGAATTGTCACATAAATTAAAAAAAAAAAAAAGACAAAGCTATCCTGTCACTGGCTTTCTCGTTTCTCCTTCTCCTTCTCCTTCTCCTTCTCCGTCTTTTTTTCCTATATAAACTACAGAAATTTATTTCTCAGAGTTCTGGAGGCTGAGAAATCCAAGATCTTTAGGCACCAGCAGAAATAAAATCATTTCTTATTTTTCTTTCTTTTTTCTCACAATGCCAGATTAAATCCAGGAATGCTCTACCATTGAATTACACCCCATATCCTTTTCAATTTTTTGAGACAGGGTCTCACTAAGTTTCCAAGGCTGGCCTCAAACTTGGAATGCTCCTGTCTCAGTCTCTCAAACAGCTGGGATTACAGGCATTCACCATTGCACCTAGCTGCCTAAGTTCTTAATAAAAGATTCCTCTATTAATAATTGGGCTGGGGATGTGGCTCAAGCGGTAGCGCGCTCGCCTGGCATGCGTGCGGCCCGGGTTCGATTCTCAGCACCACATACAAACAAAGATGTTGTGTCCGCCAAAAACTAAAAAATAAATATTAAAAAAAAAAAGATTCCTCTATTAATAATAAAGAGGGTTTATGACTATAATAAAACCCCATTTGTGAGATTAAACAAAGCAGCACATCAATTTTCCTTAGATGTGGGTGTATGAATATAAATAAATCAGCAAGAGCAGCACATAATTATTTGAGCCATTTTTAAAGTGACTTTAGAGATCCACTACTGCATGAGCTGCTCCTGGGACAGGCTGGGAAAAGTGGTAACTCAGACCCAAAGAATGACACATCATCAACCAGCACAATAAACTGGGAATGCTATTTAAGATATCAAATCACTGCCAATTATAGGCAATGTCATAATAAGGAAATAACCACTATGTCACACACGATGGTAGCTGCAGGAGTGAAGTGAGTCGAGGCATGACCACACAAACTCACCTAGGACATGCTCTTCTCTCCATCACCCTTTCCCCACCACATGAGGGCTACATGGATCATTTAGCTAGGAGCTCTTTTACAGACTCTCCATAAAACATAAATTGTGGGGTTTTAAAAAATGCTGTGAGACCCATGGAAGGATGACTGAATAATTCAACTGCTGGCCCGACTCAACTTCTAGAGCATGTGAAGGTTGGCTGGGAAAACAATCCACTTCTCCACTAACCCAGGACCATCCTCCTGAGCTGAGGCCTCAACAACTCCCAGGCTATCAATCCTCCAAGAGTGATGGAAGCTGCATCCTGAATGCCAGGCACTGTGACCTGTGGTCCTGGAGTAGCACTGGGATCCATTAGTTTGAAGGCTTCTAATAGCCACCCGCTTATTCAATCATGCTCTACTCTCTAGAAGAGAAGGTTCTGTCATAAACCCTGGCCTTGGGGCTGGGGTTGTGGCTCAGTGGTAGAGCGCTTGTCTAGCAAGCATGAGGCACTGGGTTCAATCCTCTGTACCACATACAAAATAAAATAAAATAAAAAATAGTATGGTGTCCATCTACAACTAAAAAATAAATTTAAAAATTTTTTAAAAATTAATAAACAAACCCTGGCCTAATTCCTGCTGCTGCTGCAGATCTGGTCCACCTCAGGTGAGTATCAATAAGTATAAGAAGGAAAGAAAACATCCTATACTTATTGATTTTATAATTTCTTACAGTATTCTCTGAAAATATTTTACTGAACATTAAAATGTGAGATCCATACACAATGATTTAAAATGGAGCTTATGCTGGGGGTGTAGCTCAGTGGTAGAGTGCTTGCCCAGTATGCCTGAGACCCTGGGTTCGATCCCCAGCACCACAAAAAATAAAAAAAGGTGAACTAAAATGGAGCTTATGTGATTCGTTCATGAGCACATATGAATCACAAGTATGTAAATAGAAAAGTGACTTCTAATATTTGATGGTAGTCTCTATAGAATCTCCCACATTTCCAAGGAATATTCTATGAGTTGATCTTTTGGAACATTAACAACTTCAAACTGGAAGATCTGATGAATATGGATAAGAAACCAGAACCTCAAAAAGGCTCCAGGCCACATAAGGCAGCAGCTGGTGAGCGAAAGCCCGGTCAAGAAGGCCACTTCAGGACCTTCTCAGAATCATGCCTGATGAAGGCAACCTGCTGACCCAAGCCTGCTGGGACTTCCACATAGGCACCCAAGGGCTGACCTGCAGACAACCCTTTTCTAGGAAGTGAGCTGTGACCTCTCTGGCCTGGTATATTCCATGTAGGGTCAGGTCAACACTGCTAAGCTTCATGAAGAAAATGGGCATCCAGCTCGGATAAGACCACAAAAAGCAACTAACTGATAAGGAAAAAGGAAAGAAAGTTTGCTAACTCTCACCAAAAGAACTACTACACTACTACTAGATACACTGCAGTATATGTGCACGCACGCGCATGTGTCTGTATGTGTGTGTCTATGTATGTGTGTCTGTGTGTATGTGTCTTTGTGTGTGTCTCTGTGTGGGTGTCTGTATGTGTGTGTCTGTGTGTGTGTTTCT